GGGCCCTTAGAAGATGTACCCATATTAATCTCAGGGCTCACAAAAGAGTCCACAATTGGCCTTACCAACCCACAATGCTTGGGCCCATCCTGATCCCCCAAGCCCCCAAGCGTCGGCCCCTCAAGCCTTTCCCTCATCTTCCCAATATGCCCCACCTCCAAACCCTTCCTCATATCAGGCCCATTCAAGTCAAAGTCCCTCCCACCCCAGCCCTCCGTAATTTGAATATCTGACCTTGGCGCCAAAGAATGATCACCCCCCCATACCGCCCAATGAGGTCACCAAATCCGCCGAAATACTAGCAATCCCTATGTTTGGGGGAGCAGATTGAACCTTGCTATATTTGACCTTACCCAGAGTGGCCTGCTCCGATCGCCGGTTCTCAGCCGTCACCGGAACAAAGCTATGAGTCGAGCCCTCCCCGTGACCACGCTGTTGCACCTCCACATCCTCCAATACCATTTTGGAGCTCCCCTCATCCTCCCTCCTCCTTCCCTGTGTAAAATGGTGGTCCCTTTGATTCCGTCCTCGTGTGGGCTCTGCCCGGAGCCAGGTCCCATACTGCAACGGTGCCCTATCCTCTTTCTCACCTCCTAATATCTTGTTCGCACAGTCACGAACACTGTGACCAAGCAAACCACAATGAAAACAAAAATTTGGGAGCTTCTCATATGTGAGCGTAACCCACACCGACTTTCGCCCAGGTAAGGTCAATTTCAAACCCCGCCTAAGTGGTTTGGCAATATTGATCTCTACCCGAAGGCGGAGAGTTCGTCCCCAAGCAATACCACCATCTCCATACTCCATATCGACAAAACTCCCGATTTGATTGCCCAGCAAAATTCCCACATCCCGCGTCATGCTAATAAGAGGAAGATTGGATACATGAACCCAAAACGCCATAGTAGAGAAGGTGATGTCCAGCGGTTGTAAATCCCCATTAAACTCTTTCAACATAACTAACTGGTTATCAAAATTCCATGGGCCATTTAGCAGCACTCTCTTCTTATCAACAATATGACCAAACTGGATCAAAAACAAGTTAGCACCCAATGTCTTGAACTCGATCCCTTTAGATGCTCTCCAAATCGTAGTCAATGTAGTCCGTAGCGCCTCAAAATTGAATGGGCGCGTAGTAAGAAGTTTACCCACCAGACAAAGCCCCGCTTTTGCCTCCGTAGGTTGAAGATGGACATCCTCCACCACCACTTCCGCTTCCTCCTCCTCCGTCAATACGAGTTTCCTCGCCAGATCAGAGAGAGACTCCGCCATTAGCACGATCTAGAACTTCCTACCCACACTCGTAATCAAAGAACCCCCACACCAGGAGAGTTATCCTTGTACATGACAAGAGAGGACTCCTACGAGAAGAGAGAATATTTTGAAGACTGACTTGACAAATGAGATTGTTAGATATATTTTTTTTTGTGATAGATAGCTTCGGTGGACCCATCCAATTTTGAGTATAAGATGCAATGAATAAAATTTAAATACATGCAATCATTAGCAAAATCAAATTTATCAAATTCAATTCTAAGTATTCTTTCTCCATAGAAATCAACCATGATGTTTTCATAAATTACTTAGGCTATATTTGGTTGGGGTATTTGAGAAGCGATTTAGAAAATGAAAGAAAATAGGTAAGTAAAATATGAATTAAATATACTTCCATTTTATTTAATTTCACGCATTTTTTTCCTTTAATTTTCTAAATCACTCTCCAAATACCATAACCAAACACAACCTTATAGTGGGCTCTCATTTTTAATCTTCTAACTGTTGGACTAGGCCAATAAATAGATCGGATTTGGCTCAGATATGTCAAAATCTAAATCTAATCTGATTAAGACAAATTTGAATATGATCCAAATCTATTTAGCCCATATCCAATTATAGATCATCTAGATCCGATGATTTCCAATATTCGACCCGATATCGGACCCGATCGGGGTCCATTCATTTATTTATTAAGCTACAATTTTATATAATTTGAGGTTTTTTTTTTTTTCTTTCCATTTTTCTGTTTTCTTTTTTCAAATTGAGAATAATTGGATCGAATCGAATTTTTGCAAATTCGATCTGTTTAATAAATGGATTAAACAGATTTGAATTATCGGACTACCAGATCAGATTTTTTGTACATGGATTTGAATTTTCAAAACAAACTCTGGTTAGATTTGGATTAAATTTGATCCATTGATAGCCCTACGCTGAACTAATCGTAAGTGCTTATTAAGATAATTCTTAAATGCTTCAAGGCACAAATCATAAAAGAGATTATTTCTATAATTTTCTAGCATGCGTAAGGTTTAGATAAAGATAAAAACAACTTGGGGGTGGGAATGAAGAAAGTACATAAGAGAGAGGTAAAACACAAATTAATTTTCTAGTATGTGTGAGGGTGGATTAAGATGAAAAGAACTTGGGGGATGAGAATCGAGAAAGTACATAAGAGGGAGGTAAAACACAAAATATAGAAACATTAGGGAATGAGAGCAAAGCAAACACAGGTAGGGGTTTAAAATGCAAAATTATAATCACAATCACCTTGGTCGGTTTGATATTTTAATTTAAAAAAGTAGTTTATTTAGTGAATAAAAATCAAAATAAACTCATCAATATATATATTAAAAATAAGGGAGCTTTTTTGATAAATCTTTTTTCTAAGAGCTTTATTCCATCCAACCCATATTCTTTTTAACTATTTCATTAGGTCCTATTTGAGGTAAGAAGATCAAAATACCCTTTTCATCTACTTATGTTCTATTTAGTCCACATTATTTTCTTATGTTTCAATAAATTCTATGGGTGACATAATTACCAAAATACCCCTAATGTGAATGTTCACATCGTCAATGTGAATGTTTACACCGTTAATGTGAATGTTCTTATTTGAGGTAAGAAGACCAAAATACCCTTTTCATCTACTTATGTTCCATTTAGTCCACATTATTTTCTTATGTTTCAATAAGTCGTATGGGTGACATAATTACCAAAATACCACTAACGTGAATGTTCACATCCTATGGGTGGCATAATTACCAAAATACCCCTAATGTGAATGCTCATATCGTCAATGTGAATGTTCACACTGTCAATGTAAATGTTCACACCGTCAATATGAATGTTCACACTGTCAATGTGAATGTTCCTATTTGAGGTAAGAAGGCCAAAATACCCTTTTCATCTACTTATGTTCCATTTAGTCCACGTTATTTTCTTATGTTTCAATAAGTCCTATGGTTGACATAATTACTAAAATACCCCTAATGTGAATGTTCACATCCTATGGGTGACATAATTACCAAAATACCCCTAATGTGAATGTTCACATCGTCAATGTAAATGTTCCTATTTGAGGTAAGAAGACCAAAAACCCCTTTTCATTTACTTATGTTATTCTACATTATTTTCTTATGTTTCAATAAGTCCTATGGGTGACATAATTACCAAAATACCCCTAATGTGAATATTCACACTGTCAATGTGAATGTTCCTATTTGAGGTAAGAAGACCAAAATGCCCTTTTCATCTACTTATGTTCCATTTAGTCCACATTATTTTTTATGTTTCAATAAGTCCTATGGGTGACATAATTATCAAAATACCCCTAATGTGAATGTTCATATCCTATGGGTGACATAATTATCAAAATACCCCTAATGTGAATGTTTACACTATCAATGTAAATGTTCATGTCATAAATGTGTAGGGGCTCAGCCCAGCTCGGGTCGGGGCCAACCCATGTAAAACCTCGAGGGTGCTTGCCAAAATTCGGGCCGGGCCGGGTCGGACAGGCCTACGGGCCAAAAAATTAGGCCTAGGCCCTAGCCTTGGCACAAAGGTATTCAGGCTTTGGGTACCCCGGTGGGTCGAGCCAAGGGGCTTGGGCCTAGATTTGGGCTTGGGTCAGGCTTAGGTGAGTCTCGCTATTTTTTTTAAATTCTTTTTAATTTTTACCCCAAAAATTTTATTATTTTTCACAAAAAAGACACCGGGCCTTTGGCGGGGCAGGCCTCGGGCTGAGTCTTAAATGGGCCTTATGCGGGCCGAGCTTCAAAGTGATAGCCCAGGTCCTAGCCCAAGTTCTCGGGCTGGGCTTGGGCCCGGGCCCAAACGAGCTTGCCCCGGGCCGCGGGAGGGCTTCGGGTGGCCCACGGGCTGCGGGCTAATTTTACACTCCTATCAATGTGAATATTAACATGTCAATGTGAATATTCACATTGTCAACAGGTCGAACCTGCTCCGGGCCGCGGGCTAATTTTACACTCCTATCAATGTTAATGTTAACATGTCAATGTGAATATTCACATTCTAAACGGGCCGGGCCGGGCCCGCGGGCGGGTTTCGGGCCGCGGGTCAATTTTACACTTCTATCAACGTGAATGCTAATATGTTAATGTGAATATTCACATTGTCAACGGGCCGGGCCTGCCTTAGGCAGCCCATAGGCCACGGGCGGGTTTCGGGCCGCCCACGGGCCGCGGGCCAATTTTACACTTCTATCAATGTGAATGTTAATATGTCAATGTGAATATTCACATTATCAACGGACCGGGTCTGCCCCGATCTGGGGGCGATCTTCGGACCGCCCACGGGCCACGGGTCAATTTTACATTCTTACCAATGTGAATGTTAAAATATGAATATTTATATCATAAAATTACTAACCGTTCAAAAAAAATTTGTAAGGGTTGTAAATCAAGAAAAATAACTTTATGGAATAAAACTATACATATATGAGACTAAATGGGTTAATAAATTTCTTCATAGACTTTTTAAGTTAAAACACTTCTAAATTGAATTTATCAATAAAAATTCCTAAAAATAAACTCATCAATATATATATTTTCTATACAAATATTTTTGTATTTAAATAAAGAATAAAAAATAAAATTTAAACCGTCAGTCAATGTAATGACAAGGCTCTCTTTTTTTTATTTTTATTTTTATTTTTATTTTTCGATGGTAATATATATATAGAAAAGATTGATAGGTGCATTATTGTAGAGGGAGGTAAAGAGGTAAATCCTAGTAATCAGACAGTGATCCATAACACATCACGGCAACACACAGGAGGAGAGAGAGAGAGAAGGGTTAGGAAGAGAAGATGGCAGAGCGGGGTGGCGGAGGAGGGTGTTGCCCGCCGATGGATCTGTTACGGGCAGAGCCGATGCAACTGGTTCAACTCATCATCCCCATCGAGTCGGCTCACCAGACCGTCGCTTATCTCGGTGACCTCGGCCTCATCCAGTTCAAAGATGTCTCTCTCTCTCTCTCTCTCTCTCTCTCTTCATATATGTCAATTATTCGTTTTGATAGTTCGCTTGAGTTAGGTGTCTTGGATTTGACACAGTGAAACCCTAGGTTACGAATTATTTGATAGAAATCGCATGTTTTCGTTATGTATTGCAATTAGGTTTTTTTTTTGCGAAATTTATTTGTATATGAATTGTACTTTGCACGAATGATTGTCAGTCGATCAGTGGTAGAAGAAGGTAATTCCAATTTATTTGGACTTCAATTGTGAGAGGCATATTGAAATAGTAGTTCATATTGGTTATTAAACTTTTTAATTTATATGTTTTTAGTTTTTGCGGAGTTCCAGGTTATGTAATTGTAAATCTAAACTGAATTTCTAGCAACTGACTGAAATAGATTTGGATTTATATTGGCTTTCATTGATTAGAAGAAGTGAACGAGATGTAAGATAATTTGGTTCTACAAGATTCACAGGGACAATTGTCAACACTAGATGACCAAATTGAATCACGTGTCCGAATCAAATAGGGTATTCTACATGAACCCTTTTTGTTATTATGTGCTGTTAAGGGCGCTACATGCTACGTTAAATTAAACAAATTCATTTATTGTTTTTACTACGACATCCAATGTTAGTTTAGGCCCTCTCGTCTCTTTAACATCTTTATTTAGACTGATCATATTCTCTTTATTACAGTTGAATTTATTGGTATTTCTTGTACATAACCAAACCAATTTAGTTTGTTGTCTCTCAATTTATTTTTAATTCGTGCTACTCTTATCATTTCACAAATATATTTATTTCTGCTCTATTAACAACGTGTTCTTTTCCTGGAACCTTTTTAACATATAGTATATATAATCTTTTTATCTTATGTTTGTTTCAGCTGAATGCAGAAAAGAGTCCTTTCCAGAGAACTTATGCCACTCAGGTTCATTTTTGTTTCTCCTTTTTAACTAGCAAGCCCAACTTTTGTTTACTTTACATCATCATGGATTTGTGTCAAGCACCTTTGCTTTCTGCATGTAAAAATCAATCAGCGTTTTAACATCTGAATAAGAATTAAGTTCTTTTGACGCCTCTTGCTGCCAGTACTTTTGAGAAACTTTATATATATGTGCACAAAACTTTGATAATAGGAGCATTAAGTTAAGTTTTTTCATCGAGTATATAAACTTTTCCATTCCTTGGTCTTCTCTGGTGATCTGGTGGATAATTGAGATGCCTGGTGAAACATTTTGGGCTAATTTGATGATTAAACGGGCCCTGTTTAGAATCTGGATTTTGGTTGTTAATATGCATTGATACGTCGTAATCTCCAAATGTTATCTATTTTTTCCCGAGAGATTGTTAGTGCAGGTTTAACTAGCTTTTTATTTTCACAAATCAAGTATAATTGGTCTTTAAAGATTAGGACTTGTGTTAACTTCACTGCAAACAGTAATTGCTTCTACTTTATTGGTGGTAGAGTGTGGACCATCTTGCCAACCCTTGCACTTTTATACTTGCGTAAATTTTTCTATTCTGTTTCTGATCAGAAAGGCTTTTAACATGCCAGCATTTAGTAGAATATGGTTTTGCTGACATTTAAGAAGGTTCTGTTGAAGAAAATAATTAATCATTGATTGGTTTAGATTCATATAGAATAAACATAAATTCTGTTATGGTTGTTGCCAACATTGTTGTGACCAACAGTGTTTAAACTGCTTTTATGTTTTATTTTATTATTTTGATACCTCTGAATTTTTTGTTGACATACATCATCAATGGTGATGCCACCCGTATATTAAAAGAAATGAATAGAAAGCAAGAAACTATACAACTCCTTGTGAATAAAACAACTCTATAAAATTCAAGAAGTGGTCAAGAGTGGGTTTAACGACTCTCGACTCTTGACTATACAAAATGCTTATAAATTTATTCTTTGGCCTATGCAAAGGTACTTCTATACCATTAAAAGATCTACAATTTAGCTCACTCTAGATCATCCACACTAAGCATAAGGGAATCAAATGCAGCATTTTCATCACTCTTGCCCTTCTCCAACTATGAAGAAGCTCAATAACTTTAGGAGGCAATGCTCACTCCAGTCATAGAGGTTATGAGTTTGACTGCCCCTCCCACTCTTATTTACCCCCCAAAAATGACAGCCTTAGAGAAAGTAGTTTTTTTAATTTTATTTTTATTATTTTTTTTACTTTTAGTTTTCCTATGTTTTTTGTGTTATAAATTTGGACTGAGATTGGGGCTACATATTTTTGCAATGTGGGGATGATCAAGAGAGACTGATTCCACTGCATTTTCTTTTGGTTTAATATCTTAAAAAAAAAAAAAAAAAAAAAAAACTGGACTAGGAAGAACCACTGTAAAAGTCTGCTTTTATTTATTTATAATTTTTTTAGCCTATGAAGTTACTGGATTGTCGTTGGTTGCAAAATGCACAAAAACTTTTCTTGAGTTCCATGTGTGTGCACGCGCTCGCGTGTGTGCGGCTGTGTTTTAAAGATGTGATGAAAAAAGTGCCCTGGTTGAATTGTTTTAGACCTAATATTAATTTGGGACAATCTGGTTGGGACAATGCTAACTTCAAAGGTTCACCCCGTAGGCAAGGGATTTATCATTCATCTCTTGATTATACTGAAACCATCAATATGATACATAGCCATGCAATATCCATCATACAACAACACTGTTGTATTTCTTTTATCTCCATCCTGACGTGAAGTTTATTTTCTCTTTAAAGATTAAAAGATGCGCTGAGATGGCGCGGAAGTTGCGATATTTCAGGGAAGAGATGTCGAGGGCAGGTTGGTCACCTGCAACAAAGCCTGTGGGACGAGCTGATATTGATATGGATGACTTGGAGGTAAATGGAAATGTTTATTACTGCTAGTGATTTTCATTTGTTATCTTATGTATAGACTAGTCTTATGTGCATATATTAGGTAAAACTTGGAGTACTTGAAGCTGAGCTAATTGAAATGAATGCAAACGGAGACAAGTTGCAGCGTTCCTACAGTGAACTTTTAGAATATAAGATTGTTCTGCAGAAGGTATGGCTTCTCATGATGATGTGACTTACAGTTCATTAGAGCAGTACCATTGCAACATGTTAGATATGTGTGAAAAAATTAATATTCTATGATGTGAATCAATAATAACAAAACTGCTAGTAAGCTTTTGGGGTCTGATTTATTGAGTGACTGATAAGTTGTCAAGTTCTTGTTGTAGTCATATAGGGGTCTTTTTAGGCACTAAAGACTTATGATACTTGTCCTTTGGTGGCGGTACACCATCATCTGATTTTCCTGCTTGTGACATTGACAGTGCAAGCATTAACGAAGCCATTTTTTGGCTTACTAATGCAGCAATAAGTTCTTGGGAATTAAGGAACCAAGCGCATCCCTTGTGATGTGTTTTGACGGATTTTAAAGATCTTAACGTTGTGGTAGTTTCGATTGTTGATTTTGTCCATGTTCACTCTGTTCCCACATTTATTGATACTGATTCTATGCATGTTTTGGTTGTGGAATATCCTTTTGATTGTCCCTACATATAAAATGAGATTCTATTGTTTTCTTCAGGCTGGTGAATTTTTCTACTCAGCCCAAAATAGTGCTACAGCTCGGCAGAGAGAATTCGGATCACAGCAGATTGGTGAAGAGTCCTTAGACACTCCTCTGCTATTGGAGCAAGTAAACTTGAGCTGATATTTTTTTGTTTTTAGTATTGAGTGAAAAATTTGTTTTCCTTAGAGAAAATATGTCTTCATGGTGTGTTATTTGGTGTAGGAAATGACAGCTGATTCATCCAAGCAAGTTAAGTTGGGTTTTCTCACTGGCCTTGTTCCTAGGGAAAAATCCATGGCATTTGAACGGATTATATTTCGTGCTACCAGGGGTAATGTGTTCACGAAGCAAATTGTCCTTGAGGACTCTGTTATTGATCCTGTGACTGGGGAAAAGGTTAATACTTAATACCAACATTTTGTAGTTTTATTGTTTAATTCTTGAGAAGATGTTGGGGCAAGTGCCTCATACATTATTGTTTTCATTTTACATAAGGATGTTGATTGAGTTGTCACAGTTGAAATGTATGCAAATCACCTTCTCATATTCTGTTCTTAGTTTCTTTGTTGTATTATCTGGTTTCTAGCCGTGTCTTTGCATTATGGGTATTGAAGAGTCAACTAAATAATAGTGGCTTGCTTATTGGTGGAATATGTGACGGCTAATACCATTGGCACCTACAATTAATTAATAATGGAGTTTGTTTCTCTTCCATAATTTATGCATTAGTGATGCAATTTTCTTTTTCGGTTGGCATAATTTCCTCATTTTATGTGGGTTCCATTTGTTACAAACTTGATTGTGTTTTTTGAATGATATCTATGTGGGTTGGCATATACATTCACAAGGCACTTATTTGACATGGTCTTTGAGTTGTGTTTTGCACGGTTCTTTCAAATTGCAAAGTCATGGAGATAGGCCTCTATCATGCTACGCTCATTGCCAAGTCTGTAAGAAAACCAGGTGGTACTCCTGGATTTGTGTACACTCCCATGGGTTTGAAGCATGGGCTCTTATTTGTACACTATAAGTTGTGTAAAATTTTACAAGAAAGTGGTTTGATGTCTACCCTCATTAGATGATAAACTAAAGTCCCATCTCATGCCACATTAAATGTGCATGTTGTCTGTTTGAAGGCCTTTATCTGTATCTCAAAAAGCCAAATACAAATTAAGATGCTCAACAATTCATATATATATATATATTTTTCCCGTCTGTTTTCTAGTTCATTACAAGCACAAGGACTATCCTTTTTAATTTAGCAACACTAAGGGTATGTTTGGTTTGCATTTGGGAGATGAGTTTTAGAAAAAAATTTCTAAAAAATTGTTTGGTTTGAGTTTTTCTCAAAAAATTTCTAAAATCACTTTCTCTCTCTTACACATCAATCAATCACTTTTTCTCTCTCCTCTCTCCTTCTCAATCACTTTTTTTCTCACATACATCTACTCAAATTCTCCCAAAACATCAAATCATCCCAAACTCCAAAAAAAACAACTCTCCCAAAATATATAACCAAACAAACCAAAAAAAATTCTAAACTCTCCCCAAATTTTTTTTCAAAAACAACTCTCCCAAAAACAAACCAACAAGCCCTAACAGTTTCCCAGATAAGTTGGGTTATACTTGTTATTCATAAGCATAAGCTTCTATTTGAATAAGTCAATTTTGTGTTTGTGTGTGTGTGTGTGTGTGTTTGGACTGGTGTTTTGGATCTGATTTGTGATTATCAACATGCAGGTTGATAAAAATGTATTCATGGCATTCTATTCTGGCGAGAGAGCAAAGAACAAAGTTACTAAAATATGTGAAACTTTTGGTGCAAATCGTTACCCTTTTCCTGAGGACTTGGGGAAACAAAATCAGATGCTCACTGAGGTACACATTGTGTTTTCCTTTGATTTTTTGTTGTCACAACTACGAGAAGATCACTGTCCTTTAAAATCTCTCTTTTTCCTCCCTTGGTCCATGCTGCAGTTTTATTCTTTCTGTTCTTTCTGTTGTCATGGTTTTGTTGAGTCTTGTCACTTTTGCCGTTGTATGAAGGCCACATATGGTATTCTGGAATTAAACAAATTGGAATGGAATGCATATTGGATGGGAATGGAACATAGAATACAATGGAATCCTCATCCCCATCCTTAGTTTTGGTTGCCAACATGGAATTATGGGGGAATATAATGGTAATTCCCATTCTGATGTTGATTTAGCCTACTCAAAACTGCTAGAATATAATGTAATATGACTAGTGGTTGGTTGTGGGAGGGTGGAGGTTGTGGTGGTTGGTGATGGTGCATGTGGCGGTCAGCAATTGGTATGTGTAGTGGTCAACAGTGAGGTGAGGTAATCTGCCTTGGGTGTGGTAAGTGGTGAGTGGCAATGGTTCCAATTGGTAGAGGAGAGGAGAGGTGGAGAAGAAGATAACTGGAGATGGATAGAGAGATAGAGATATTTCAAATTTTATGATTCAATGATGTAACAGAATGATCATTCATCTCCTCATGACGAGGAATGCCCCGTTCCCAACTTTCTTTTGGCCTACCAAACATGAGAATGGAAATGGAAGCTAGAATGGCCATTCTATTACAACCCTTTCCCATGTGCTGACTTTTTTTTTTTGCTAAATAAATAATCAAACTTTATTAAGAGAGCATCAAGATCCTGCAAAGAATACAAAAACCCCCAATTGGGAAAATTACCAACTCCTAACCAATAACATCATCCAAAAAATTTAAAAAAGCAAACATATCCGGATCAAACTTCCTCTCTAACCAACCATGTGCAAGCATAACCTATTTAAGTGTGTCTGGCCATTTTAATTGTGATATATTAGATAGTTTTGCTATTTCTGTTTGTGTATTATTAGCTAGTTCTGGTCTGGGGGATGCAATTTCGTTTTTTACTGATGCCTCTTCCTATCAAAGAGTTGGATAAAGTACCCAGCGTTCTTGATGCTCAAATTATTTGATTTTTTTCTTTAATTGTCTTGGCAATTGTCTTCATTCTTATTGGTCATGGACATTTTTTTATCCATTTTGCTTTTCAATTTGTGGAGAAAATTGGGTTGCACTTGTGCCTGGGCTGAACACTAGCATTTACATTTATGTGCTTGTTCATTTAATCTGATATCTATAGCTCCAATAACTTTCAGGTCTCGGGAAGGCTGTCAGAGCTAAAGACTACAATAGATGCTGGACTAATGCACCACAGCAATTTGTTGAAAACAATTGGTGAACAATATGAGCAGTGGGCGCTTTTGGTCTGTCGAAATCTTATTGTTTCAAGTTCCATTTGCATTGCTGCTCTAATGTGGACATAGAATTTAATTATTTGTATATGATGCTTATTCATAAAATTAATTCATTGTTGCTTGCTATGTCAAAATTTTTTTGTTCAGCCATTAAATTATCTGTTTATTTTTTTCTCATAAAGGTGATGAGGGAGAAATCCATTTACCATACTCTAAATATGCTTAGTATTGATGTGACAAAGAAGTGTCTCGTGGGAGAAGGTTGGAGTCCTGCTTTTGCAGCAAAGCAGGTGTGTTTAATTGTACTGAATTCAGGATGCATCGGATTGCTCACTTTGAATTGCCTATAATGTTTGACTGTGGATTGGACAGTTACTGAACACAGTTGGATTTAATTTGTGCAGATTCAGGATGCACTGCAGAGGGCATCATATGATGCCAACTCTCAAGTTGGTGCCATTTTCCAGATTTTGCATACAAAAGAGTCACCGCCTACTTATTTTCAGACAAACAAATTCACTTCTGCTTTTCAGGAGATTGTTGATGCATATGGGTGAGTTTTACTGGGAGGTTTTGTATATTTTTAGTACATGGTAATTATAATCATCAGGAAGGTAATATGTAAAGCCGATGCTGTTTTCTTACAAAACACCGGCACGACTAATGGAGTTGTAATGTTGAGTAAGTTTTTGGTATATTATTTGGTAGTGGTTTGATTTTACCAGGTTGTGAGAGCTTCATTTTATACACCCACCCAAAACAAATTGTATGCTAAATAGGAAGTTAGTTTTCTCTCGTGCACATTTACATGAAGAGAAACTATCCTTTCTCCGTTGATCTCTTTATTCAGCATAATTTGATATTGGATAACAACAAACAGACGGTCAATGTTCATTTCTTTAATTTTTGTTTTTCTGTTCAGTTCTTTTCTTTACTTTGTCCTCACAATTTTTTTTTCCCTTTGGGTTGTCCTTTGGTATATATATATATTTATTCATATTTACCTCTTTCAATAGAAATGAGAGACCAGATGCAGAATGAGAATGAGGATATCCAGAATGCAAACTAGATTTTTAAGATGGTGGATTAAAGCATTATGGTCCTCCTCTGTATTATTGCTATCAAACTAGTGTCTCTGCCCACTGTGGCTAACATCTTCCAGAATGGGATGGTAATGGACCCAACATGATTTGGACTGCATGTGTCTTTAATTGCTTAGGACATTAGGTAAATGTACATTGTGTAGCTGAGTAATTCTACAGTAGGGACCAGATTAAAAAAAGGAAAAAAAGTATAGAAATTGTAGAGTGGGATGTTTGTTTATAGAAACTAATTTTAAAAGGTTAGGCAAGCCAAATGGTTTATAAGTAGCAGTAGTAGCACCAGGAAAGGGTGTGTTTATGTTCATTTTCTCATGGTGGTCGGATAAGGCAGGGGTAGAAGGGTTGTGATGGTGTTACTGAGTGACTTCAAAATTTCTGACAAAAAGACCTTCTAGGAAAAGGAAAAAGAGAAGCAAAAAGGAATTTAGCGAAGATTTCCTTTAACCAAGTTGTCTTTCTGCTTTATTAGTAAGTTCGAAAAAAAAAGAAGATGATGATTTCCGTCAGGCTCCAAGATCTACATTTGGTCATTCAAGTCCTCTCAACTGAAATATTTACCTAATATTATGGTACACTGTAAAGGGCATAATCTGTGTTATGTTGCCTGAAATCCTGTGTCCTTTGGATGTACATATGCTACTTTTTTACTTGCCCATTATTCATTTGCCAAATTTAATTATATATTACAGCGATATTCACCCGATGTTGATGCTATGTTCATCTAACTGCAGGGTGGCAAAATATCAAGAAGCAAATCCTGGTGTATTCACTGTTGTCACGTTCCCCTTTCTTTTCGCAGTCATGTTTGGTGATTGGGGGCATGGTATATGTTTGTTACTTGGGACATTATATTTCATAATCAGGGAAAAGAAACTCTCTGGTCAGGTAATTTCCACTTTATTTCTTTGGAACTGGCTATAAGACTTCTATCTTTGTGCACAGCGTCAACCCATGCTCATATGGTCAACTCATTTATCTGCCGAGTTTATTACATTGCTGTGTACATTTTCTATCAGAAATTAGGTGCTTTTTTCTTGCATTGTGATTAAGTAATGTGTTTTATGCTATATGATTATGTGCCAAGACCTACCTTATAGTTTGTATCCATTTATTGGCTTGCCATGGCTTATTATCTTGCTATCTTTAGAATGTACTTGTGGCAGATCCAGTTGGTGACATGACCCGGTACTTTGATGAAATCTAGACCTCCACTTGCCACTTTTCCAGGATGTAACACATCCGGTCCCTTAAAGATGGTAAACCATACATGCCTTGGCTTTGGACCTAGGTGTTTGGAGATTCTTGAGGGACTTCATCACCTCGTGCCAAGCTTCCTCTGGTCAGATGCACCCAGGCCCATTGATACTTACCTGGTGGGAACTGGGCTCAATTACGATGCAACTCAATTATGATGTGACCTTAGGCTTGTGTCATAATCTTGGTAACCACAGTGATGCGGTCTATGGATTGCTATATAATTTATGAAATTTCATGCTTTCGCGGCTAAGGATTGCAGGTCGGCTGAGGTGTGGTGCCATCCACATGACCTCCGCTGCAGGTAGCATCTTTGCAGTCAGTCAGTTATCCTTTGAGAGACATGACGTGCTTTGGCTGGTATCTGAGAGAGAGTTCTGTGGGACTTGTTCACTATCCTTTGAGAGACATCATGTGCTTTGCCTGGTATCTACCCTGTGAAAGTGTTCTTTTGTGTCATCACGTCTAACCCCTTGTTAATCATTCATGCATGGGCTTCTATAAACTTGTTCGCTATCCTTTGAGAGACTTGACCTGCTTTGCCTGGTATCTATCCTGTTAAAGTGTTCTTTTGTGTCATAATGTCCAATCCCTTGTTAATCGTTCAGGCATGGGCTTTTATAAACATAGGCCCGTGTGCCTCTTTGCTAGGTCAATCTGCACTATTTGCACTTCACTGTGATCTACTCTCTCTCCCGCTTTCTCTCCGAATATTGTCCCATCTCTCATTCCAGTTTGATCTCTTTGGACCCCATAAGGTCCTACGTTTATGGATTCCTCTGCCAAAGCATGGCACTTTGCCTATAGAGTTCAATGCAGCTGACCTTCTGTATGTAAAGGAAGGCGATTTGTTTAAGTTTTTTCTAATGCCATGTTGGCCAAACATGTTATATTCAGATACCATTTTGAAATTTTAATAATCAGAACACGCAGAGATGTGTTTTATACTAGCTGATTCAAGTAACGCTACATGAATAAACTCATTGTGTTCAATTATCGTTATTTATTAGACCTGAATAGTTGTTGTTGACCAAATTTTCAATTTCACCTGATATATGTGTGATATTATTTATTTATTAATTCATTTTTAAACTTGTGAATGCCTTTTTTTTCGTAGTTGGAAATATGGCATTTGTGCTGCCGTTCAATAATTTATTTTTGAAATGTTACTGGTAGAAAAGCAATTCCCGGGATTCATATGAAGTGATCCTTCCATATCAGTGTATATTTAGATCTGTCCTCTAGTGTACATGAATACTACCATATTTGCATGTTTTATATTACACAATCATGCCTTTACTGGGGATGAATTTCTCATTATTGACTGTTTACTTTCTGCTATCCAATAATAGGAATCTGCAAGTCCTCCCCTTCCAAGCAGAGTCCTGAGTTTTAAATAGTCATATCAAATCATTATTTTCTTCTAGTTGTCATCTGAATCTTCTATTTTGATCCAATACTGATTAGATTTTTACTGTGCAAAATACAGAAGCTTGGAGACATCACAGAAATGACCTTTGGTGGTCGCTATGTGATTTTGATGATGGCACTCTTTTCAATCTACACAGGCTTGATTTATAATGAGTTCTTCTCTGTCCCGTTTGAACTATTTGCTCGTTCAGCCTATGCTTGCCGTGATCTTTCTTGCAGGTCTAATGCGAAAACCTTAGATGACATGTTTTATGTTTTTATCTGTTATGCTCTTTACATACTCAACGGCATTGTTTCAGGGATGCTACTACTGCAGGCTTGATTAAGGTGGGTGACACATATCCATTTGGTGTGGACCCTGTCTGGCATGGTTCCCGCAGTGAGTTGCCATTCCTCAGTTCGTTAAAGATGAAAATGTCAATACTTCTCGGGGTAGCCCAGATGAACCTTGGAATCTTTTTGAGCTATTTCAATGCCAAGTTCTTCCGCAATAGCCTGAATATCTGGTGAGTGTCATCTGCTAATATCAATCTTTTGAGGAATGGGTACTGTGATATTTTGGGCATTTGTTAAGTTCTTTTCAAAACCTTCATAGCAACATATACGCATCTGTAGAGTAATAGATGTGTATAAATCCACATGTTTTTGGACATTCTTCACTTGCAGTACCCAATTGCTTGTTCTGATAACTACTAACCACTTTGTTTTTTTAGGTTCCAATTTGTTCCCCAGCTGATATTTTTAAATAGCCTGTTCGGTTACCTTTCCCTCCTCATCATTGTAAAATGGTGCACTGGTTCAAAAGCTGATTTATATCACGTAATGATATATATGTTCCTCAGTCCCACTGACGAACTTGGGGAAAACGAGCTTTTTGCTGGCCAGAGAACAGTTCAGGTTGACACTTGCTTCTAGCCACAGTTATATTTTTTTAATGATTTGTTTCTGTTTTTGAACCAAATAAACTCTTCGCATGGGAGCTAAGATGTGTAAATTAATCTCAATTCATCTATTGTTTCGTCATCAGCTTGTACTGCTGCTGCTGGCCCTCGTTGCTGTTCCGTGGATGCTGCTCCCAAAGCCTCTTCTTTTGAAGAAACAGCATGAAGATGTACGCTTCTTTTTTTTCCTAAATAATTTGTGATAATCATAGTTTTTTGTTTCGCACTCTAAATGTTGTGCTTCTTTAGAGACACCGCGGTCAGTCCTACGTGCCACTTCAAGGCACAGAAGATTCATTACAATTGGAGGCAAGTCATGATTCCCATTCTCATGGGGAGGAATTTGAGTTTAGTGAAATTTTCGTCCATCAACTTATACATACGATAGAGTTTGTACTTGGAGCAGTCTCAAATACAGCTTCATACCTTCGTTTGTGGGCCCTCAGGTATGCTTCTACAAACTTAAATTTCATCAAAGCAATCCAAAATTTCAATGGTATTTTGAAACTTTACATTGAGAAATCTGTTGAAACTCGAAAGAGTCAGTAAATTCAATGGATCATGGACATAGAGTAGTATAATTCTTTCCTTCCTGCAGAATGTGACCCTGCCTTACATTTTTTTATCTGCCTTGCTATGTGATTTCCTTTGCAGAATGTGACCCTGCCTTACATTTTTTTATCTGCCTTGCTATGTGATTTCCTTGGTATTCATTCAATTCCAGAGATGTGTTTGATTATGCCTTTACTAGTAAAACATCAGCAAGAGAGCTCCCTGCCCGTGGGATTTCTTTGAAAGCAAAAGTGATTTAGATAAAGGGAAAGGAAAAATGAACAAAACCCTTCACAAATCACCCCTCAAATCCTTAATCCAAACACTGCATAACCATTTTCTATTTGCCCGGCTAAGATGTGTACATTTTCATACAGCCGTGAGTTGTACACTGCTACATATATGCTACGAAAGTGCTTCCTGACAAATCCTTATACCATCATCACCATCTTTTATACCTTCTTGTTTTCATTTATATGCTAGTCTTATTTTATTAGCAGAGCCTAATCATGCAAATGATCTTTCTTTTGACTTCGTTCAGCCTTGCCCACTCGGAGTTGTCCACCGTATTCTATGAGAAGGTTCTTCTTCTTTCTTGGGGGTGAGTATCCATTTAATTCTGCTGATTGGTTTTGCTTTAGTCCATTGTTAAGGTTTATTTATAGCAGGCCGTTGTGTTCACATATTCTATCAATTAACCCATGGGATGTAGGAAACAGAGCAGTTGGCACGGAAAATAAAATAAAAAAAATATATCTCCTTTAGCAGATGGGAAGACTGCTTATCTGATAAGAAAGAACTTTTTACTCTGACTAATTATTAACATTTAACTTTGTATGACAACAGGTACAACAATATAATCATCTTTATTGTGGGCATCATTATTTTCATTAGTGCAACTGTTGGTGTGTTGTTGGTGATGGAAACTCTCAGTGCGTTCCTACATGCGTTACGTCTTCATTGGGTGGAGTTCCAAAATAAGTTTTATGAGGGAGATGGTTACAAGTTCCTTCCCTTCTCTTTTGCGTTACTTAGTACTGAGGAGGAATAGGATTATGAAACCTGACAATGCTGTTGGAAAGTCGGGTTCATAGTGTGCATAAGTACGGGCTTTTATTGATTCTTTCATTTGGAGAAATATGTATTGGGAAGCAAAATGCCAAGTATTAACTTAAGAGTCATGCAGGCAAGGGAGATGGAACCTTTGCAAGAGCCCCTTCCCAACCCTAGCATTTGTTGCTCTTATTTATTTAGCCCCCCAATAAGCAAGTCTCATAGCGAGGCTTGCAGCTATTTATGGTGACTATACAATGTATTGTGATTTAGTTGTTTTCTTTCTTTCTTTTTATTTTCGCACTTTTTTGTTTTTTATTTCGGTTGGTTGGTTGAGATTGTGTGATGAGCTTTCAATGTGATCATATATTTATTTCCATGGAAAAAGTCCTTAACTATTGACTTGTTTATGGGGAATTGCCTTTCCTCCAGTCCAATGTTTTAAAAATCGGACCGGTGAGTGAACCGGAAAAATGATCGGGTGGACGGGTCACCGGTTCAACCGTCGGGTTAAGCCGGAATTGAATCGTGACCCATGACGTCATAAATATATTAAAATTTATATTTAAATAAAAATTTAAGTAATAAAATTATAAATTAAAAATTTTAATAATCTTAAATATTTCTCTTAATACTTTTTTTATTAAAAAATATAAAAATATATTTAAAAATATTATTAATTTTCATTTTGGAAGAAGAAATCAAATATTTAATATTCCTTCCATATGATTTTAATTCAAACACTTTGATTGAAAGAAGAGTAAAATTTTTGGAGGGATATCAAAATTTTAAGTTTCCCTCCAATGAGTTTGATTGAATCCCAGATAGATTTCTTGAGTTTTTTTGGAAGAATTTTTTTCTTATAAATAGATAGAGGCTTTCATAATAATTTCAAGCTCTCAATAGGATTTCTCACAAAAGGAGATCCTTAAAAGAGAATTTTCAATTAAATTTTTATTATATATAATATATATATATATATATATAAAATAAGAAAGAAAGAAGAGAAAGAAAGAATAAATAACAAAGAAAAAAATATAAAAAATTTGTTTTATCAACTTGGTGAACTAGAACCGGTTCGATCGCTGGTTTTTTCGATTCTCTCAAAATAGGCCGGTTTTTTACTATGACTGGTTTAGTGGGTGTACTCGAACTGAAATCTCGATCGGTCGGCAGTTCAACCAGTTGAATTGGCCGATCCGGTCTGATTTTTAAAACCATGCTCCAGTCTTTCAAAAAGGACAGCTTGCTCATGGGGGTCCTCCGAGGCCATATTTAGATGATTAGTTTCCAAACAAAAAAAAAAATTCTGAGTTCTTGTGTATGCTATTTATACAAAATTAGATTTGATTTAATAATTATGGTTATTAATATTTTTCAAAAAATATTGACTGGTATAATTTTGAAATTTTTTTGTTAATTTTTTTGAAAGCAAAAGTGATTTAGATAAAGGGAAATTTAGCCATAACTTTTATATTGAACTTTTGTTTGGTGACAAGAAAAGGACAATTTAATTTATTTTATTTTATAAACCTCTTAAGAAGGAGGCACATAATTGAGTAAGGACATAGTGTATTTATTTTTTCGTAGACAATATTGTTTATGCATATTATATATATATATATATATATCATGGAACTTTTTTGATGAGAATAATTTTATTTTATTTTGTTTTATTTTATACATGTTTAAAAATGTTGTGTATGTATATTTTTAGTTGGTTCATGTAGTATATATTTTGTTTTTTGCAATAGTAAAATGTTATTGTGAATCAGAATATCATGTTACTATTTACGTCAATTCGGCGGTTTTTTTTTTTTAGCCAACATGGAACTTATTTGATAGATCTTGATGAGAGGATTTTAAAAATATTAATTTTATTAAAAACTGACATTTATATAAAATGTAATATTATTTTAAAGTTTAAAATATTAAATTACTTATTAAGTATATTTTGATAACGGTGGTATTACATGCATCAATCAGTGTGGTAATTAGTGTATCAATATTAATTATGATATTATTATTGATTCACTCATTATATAAATTATAAATATTAAAAATTTCTTAAATTATGTTATATCATCAATTGGTACACTAGTTGGTACACCAATTGATGCATATGACATTATTCTTTTGGTAATAATAGTATGTGCTTGTTATTAATGCATTAAATTTTTTTTATAAGAGTGTTTTGATCAAATTCATCCTTGTATAAATCATCTAATCAATTTTTTTGTACTGGGGATTTATACCTGGGGAGAGAATAAATGGGACTAGTCGAAGTGTTTATTTTATTTTATCTCACGTATCAAAGTGGTTTGAATGTGTAAATCTCAGAATCAATGCTTGATGTGTTAACCAACAGATATATAAAGTATTCTGTGTAGTGGCTAATATGACATTGACACCCATCTGAAACTATAACAATGAGGAGATTGAAGAGTTATGTTATTTTTTATCAAATGAGTTTTATGGGTGCGGGATTTATGTGAGGTATTTAGTAAAAAATTTGATAAAATTTTTGGGATCCTTAACATTTATCGGAGACGAAAATCTATACGAGACATTTGATAGAAAGTTTGTGGAGATTAAAATCTTACGTTAAGACCTTTCTTTTTTTTTTTCCGATGTGGCAGGCTTGGGCCTGAGCAGCCTGTGGGCCAAAATTTTAGGCCTGATTTCAGCCCAACAATCTTGACTCAGACAGGCTGGCGGGCTGAATTGATGATGCGCCCAATAAGTTGTACAAATTTGGGCCAATGGCGGCCCAATAATTTATGTAGACTTGGCCCAGACAGGGTGGGCTGAATTAACGGATTTTGGCCCAAAATATTGGGCAGGCTTGGCCTAGACAGGCTGGTGGGTTGAATGAATGGGCTCGGGCCCAATAGGTTGGTCAAGCTTGGCCCAGACAGGCTGGTGGGTTGAGTTGAATTCATGAGCAACGGCCCAATAAGTTGGGCTTGCTGTTCCAATGGGCCAAAATTTAAAGAATATTTTTTTGTAGGGATGGCAATGGGGATTAATGGGGTGGATATTAATTCCCCATCCCCATTCCCCTATAATATATTTTCCCCATTCCCCATTCCCCATTCCCCATTCCCCATTCCCCATTCCCCATTCCCCATTCCCCATTCCCCATTCCGCTAGAGTTCATAATGTTTTTCATGTCTCAATGTTAAGGAAGTAGACTATGATTTAAGTACTTGGATTATTTGTTTTGTTAATGGATTTTATTAGTGGACTTGGTGGATAATTTCATATGATAAGAATAATCAATTTTTTATGGATTTTAGTATTATGATAATTAAGGATTTAATTGGAGTATTTTACATTGTTAGTTATGTATTGGACTCTTAGCCTTGCATGCTCACTTAAATGAGTGTGCGGCGTTGTCACGGAGCTTGGGACGTGACAGATGAAGTGATGATTTGCAGTTTTCAAAAAAATAAAAATAAAAAGGGTCGGAGATTTTTTGGGATTGGGGAAATCTGATCCCCGTTAGGGGACAGGGGGTGATGGGTTTCCTCCGGGGATTGGAGACAGGGATGGGAAATTTTGTACCTTCGGGGATCGATGATAGGGAGTGTGATCCCAGCCCCGGTCCGTTGCCATTCTTACATTGGATCCTTATTTGGTGAAAATAGCAATCTAATTTATTTTGTTTCATAAGCCTTCTAAGAAAAAAACATATAATTGAATAAGGACAAAGTAAAATATCTTTTTCTTTTTTTAACTTTCCTGGACAATATTGCTAGAGTACCATGTTACTGTGAGATAGGGTAACATATTATTGTTACTGTTTACATCAATTTCAACTACAATAATTTTTTATTTTATTTTATTTTTTTAAAGAATTTCATAGTCAACATAGAACTTATTTGATAGATCTTGATGAGAGAATTTTAAAAATATTAATTTTATTAAAAACTGACATTTATATAAAATGTAATATTATTTTAAAGTTTAAAATATTAAATTACTTATTAAGTATATTTTGATAACGGTGGTATTACATGCATCAATTAGTGTGCTAATTAGTGTATCAATATTAATTATGACATTATTATTGATTCACTCATTATATAAATTATAAATATTAAAAATTTCTTAAATTATGTTATATCATCAATTGGTACACTAGTTGGTACACCAATTGATGCATATGACATTATTCTTTTGGTAATAATAGTATGTGCTTGTTATTAATGCATTAAATTTTTTTATAAGAGTGTTTTGATCAAATTCATCCTTGTATAAATCATCTAATCAATTTTTTTGTTCTGGCGATTTATACCTGGGGAGAGAATAAATGGGACTTGTCGAAGTGTTTATTTTATTTTGTCTCACGTATCAAAGTGGTTTGAATGTGCAAATCTCAGAATCAATGCTTGATGTGTTAACCAACAGATATATAAAGTGTTCTGTGTAGTGGCTAACATGACATTGACACCCATCTGAAACTATAACAATGAGGAGATTGAAGAGTTATGTTATTTTTTATCAAATGAGTTATATGGGTGTGGGATTTATTTGAGATATTTAGTAAAAAATTTGATAAAACTTTTGGAATCCTTAACATTTATTGGAGACGGAAATCTATATGAGACATTTGATAGAAAGTTTGTGGTGATTAAAACCTTATGTTAAGACCTTTCTTTTTTTTTTTTTCCCATGTGGCAGGCTTGGGCCTGAGCAGCCTGTGGGCCAAAATTTTAGGCCTGATTTCAGCCCAACAATCTTGACTCAGACAGGCTGGCGGGCTGAATTGATGATGCGCCCAATAAGTTGTACAAATTTGGGCCAATGGCGGCCCAATAATTTATGTAGACTTGGCCCAGACAGGGTGGGCTGAATTAACGGATTTTGGCCCAAAATATTGGGCAGGCTTGGCCTAGACAGGCTGGTGGGTTGAATGAATGGGCTCGGGCCCAATAGGTTGGTCAAGCTTGGCCCAGACAGGCTGGTGGGTTGAGTTGAATTCATGAGCAACGGCCCAATAAGTTGGGCTTGCTGTTCCAATGGGCCAAAATTTAAAGAATATTTTTTTGAGTTTTCCCCCTTTTTTTTCCTCTTAGTTTTTAAAGGCCTCGCAGCCAGTAAAATGGGTTGGGCTTCAAATCCCGCTCTTGGGCCTAAGTCTAGGCTAAGACAACCCACCTTAGGTACAGGGCTAGGCTTGGTAAAATCCCACAGGCCTTGTGATGACCCTAATTGTAAGGGCAATGAGACCAGTTCTGACAGCATGAACAAAAGATAACTTTCAAGTTTAAAGATTACTAAATTATTACATTACCCTCTTTATTTTTTTATATAATTTTTTCATAAAATCTTAAAAAATTAATAAAATAACATATTTCCAAAGAAGACCACAAGAAACATTGGATGCATGAGCATGGGAATGATATCATTTGTTTTCAAAGCATTCTAGGTACCCCCATCTTAAAATATTCGAAGAACATATGGGAGAACTTGCACCAGAAACAGATATGTATATATGTATTATATACATATATCTATGGTGTCCTGAAGCTTTACTCTCCTCATGCCATGTGGCAGTGTTTTTTATTCTTTTAAAAAAAGTTAAACAAAGAGATGGGCAAGGCTTGAACCCATGACCATAGGTTTAAGTACAAGGACTCATACCACTTACGCTAAGTACACATTATAATATTAATTTCATTATTATTTTCTTTTATTCCTATTTATTTAAATTGCACACACATTGTGTGTGCCACCCACTAGTACTATTATAAAGTGAACACTCCTTAATGGTGGCTTGAAACCTTTGTTTCTTATGCTGCCACGTGTCTATTTTTTTATTTGAAATAAAAAAAAAAATTAGATAAATGAGAGGAGGGGATTTGAACCTTAGACTTATGTCAAATGAATAAGACTCTTACCACTTAACTAGCACACAAAATATGATAAATGCTTTATTTTATTTATATTTATTTGAATTGCACACGCATCGCGTGTGGCAACTGCTAGTTCTATTATTAAAAGAGAACAAGAACTTTGGTGTCATGAAGCCATTCCTAAAAAATTTTTCTCAATTCTCCCTAAAATGACCTTAACTTCTTACACTTAAATCAATTTTAATTAGGGTTAAAATGATAAATTCAAACACTAATTCCACCTCCCACTTCCCACTCTCCACGTCTGAAGCAGTTACACCATCTTCCTTCAATTGCATTTTGCATCTTCCTTGGTAAGTTGCCTTCTGAAAGTTTTGTTCTCAAAGTTCACGTCTGAAGCAGTTACACCTTCTTCATTCAATTGCATTTTGCATCTTCCATGGTAAGTTCTCTTCTTTTCTCTTTTGACAATTTCAAACAGTAACATATATCGAAGGAGCTTGCTCATTTTCTGTGAATATCATGATCTCTGCAGTGTTCCTCTGCCTCGCTTCCCCTCCCCAACACTAGCACACCTCCACCACCACTGCCGCCGCAACAACAACAACAACCACCCACATTATCAACCTCTCCAGAACAGAATGATGTAGTTTGGTTTTGGATGGTATGCATAGGCACGGTTTCTTGCAGTTGCAGTGTGTATGTGATCTTCCCTTTTTAATTTGGTAAGCATTTCTATATCCAAAAACTATGCTCTTTTTTGTTGGTTTCTACTCTGCTGGTTTCTACTCTGTTTTACACTTTGTATGTGAGTGGAAAAGAAAAGTTTATGTTTTCTCTCTCTTTGGCCTTTTGTTTGGATAAATAGAAATGAAATAGAAGAGAAAGATTTCTCGCTTATCTTATTTGGTTTATATTATCAAAATAACATTTTTAGGTGTTTGTTTTTTATTTCTTCTATCTATATTTTTAGACATAGTGGTTGATTCCTAGATTTAGCTTTGTTGGTTTCTACTCTGTTTTACACTTTGTATGTGAGTGTAAAAGAAAAGTTTATGTTTTCTCTCTTTTTGGCCTTTTGTTTGGATAAATAGAAATGAAATAGAAGAGAAAGATTTCTCGCCTATCTTATTTGGTTTATAGTATCAAAATAACATTTTTAGGTGTTTGTTTTTTATTTCTTCTGTCTATATTTAAAGGGGCAATTTTGATATTATGAAAAAAATGAAAAAATAGTTGTTCTGTTGATTTTTTATTTTCCTTTCCCAATTTATTCACTTTTGGAGAGATTCAAAATAAAAGTTATAAGTGAAATGAGTTTCTTTCAATTTTTTTCCCAAATTCATTCCATTTCTCTCATCTTTTGCTAATCCAAGCAGGTTATACGAACCAAGAGAAATGTAATTTTCTTTTCTTCCCAAACCTCTCTCACTTTCAGTTATCATAGATTCATGGGTGGATATCCCCATGTGATTTATCAACTGCTTTTGTGTATCTTTGATTCACACTCTGCAAACACTGTTCAATTGAAGTAAAACAGTTTCTGGGTTCGTTCGTCTGTTGTGGGGTCTTCATTCCTCCACCCAATTAATTGGCACAACAACTATTTTTTCTTTTCTTTTTCAATCACCACCCTTTCCTTTCTTTCTGCCATTTTCTTTATTTTCACACAAGAGATAATGGAAAAGACATGGCAGTAAAGTCCCTTATCATATTTGTAACTATTCTAAAAAAAAAACCTTCGTTTTTTCATATGTTTGTTTTGAAGTGTACGAGGAAAGAAGCACCACCACCTGTTTTAATTTTTCTAATTTTAATTAACTGTGTTTTTTTGGTTTTATCAGTGCTCTTTTTTCAAATGTTTATTTTTTCATATGTGCTTTTAATGATTTGTTGATCTGTGAGTAGCTATCAACTATATATCCTAAATAATGTATGTGAATTTGTGTTGTTTGGGTTGAGTTTATATTTGTGTTTCTTTCATTACTGGGTCTCTTTTACACTACGTTATGGTGCCAAATTATTCAAAGAAACCTGCATAAATATGAATTAAGAACCTGAAAATTAATTTAATGGAAATACAAAGAACACGTAATTTTTTTTCTTCCAAAAATACACACACAAAATTAAGAACATTGAATTTATTTATTTATTTATTTTTTTTTTCCAAAACACACACAAAATGAAACTTTTTAATGAAGAAAAAAAATACACAATATTCTTCTCACACAAGTAAACAAACAAACAAATCAAATTTTAAAAAAATTGAATTTATACACAAAAAGAAACAATAGCTTAAAAAGTGAAAGAAGAAAAAATCCAAAACTATTTAACTCTCTTAAAAATTGCACGTAGGTGTCAAACTGTTTAATTAAAAACACATATAAATATTAAGAACCTAAAAATTAATTTAATGAAAATACCGAAAATACCGATTTTTCTCAAAAACAGACACACAAAATTATGAGCACTGATTTTTTTTTTTCAAAAAACACACACAATGAAACTTTTTAATGAAGAAAAAAAAAAAAAACAACAATAGTGTTCTCAATCAATATATTTTTTTCTCCACAGAACCTAATTACATAATGAAACTTTTTATTGAAGAAAATAAAAATATAATGAACAATACTACACTTACAATGTAGGATAAGTAGATACATATTTCGGATAAAGAGAATAATAAGATTGCAATGTTCTTGAATAGTATTTCTCCCAACAAAAAAGAAAAAAAAATCATTGAACAAATAAAAGGGAAGATTTTATAGTACATAGAGAGGGGGGTGAACATGAAAGAATTTTGGTAACATAAGACCGGAGATTTTATGCAAGTGGTTTTCGTTTGGGAACAGGCTAATTTAGTAACTTTTTGGCTAATTGGCTAAAAAGGTAGGTAAAAAAAACTTGTATGTTTGGGATGACTTTTTGACTAATTACGAAAAGCTGTGCAAAAAGTAGAGATAAGCCGTAATTGTTGACTTTTTGGTATGACTAATTGGCTAATTGGCTAATTTAGTAACTTTTTGACTTTTTGGCTAAAACAGAGCCTTCCCAAACGAGGCCTTAAGATTTTATGACAATATGGAGCATATTCTCCGGTCTCATGTTACCAAGAGGGGTCAAATATGGTTGCAGAGAGGGGTCTCAATTTTGATATCAACATTTGTGTTTATGTGTTTGCAATTTATGTTTTCAAAAAATTAGGTTGTTTGATTGCTTAATTTTGTGTGTGTGTTTTTCTTAACAACAATTCAATGTTCATAAAAATTGTTTTATTTCAAAAAAATTAAAAAAAAATAGTAGTCCTTTCTTTTTTTTTGGTTTATTATTTATTTTTTACTGCAAGTTTTCCAAGAATATGGGTTCTTGTTTTGTTATTTTGTGTGTACCATTATTACTTACACTTTTTATTTTCTTCATTAAAAAGTAAAAGAAAAAAAAGTATGTTAATCGATTTGTTGGAGAGAAAAATTGACTATTATTTTCCTTCGTTTATATTTTTGGCAAGTTGCTTTATAACTTTCTATTGTTCAAAAGAAACTTTTCGGATTATTCTCTATTGACACCTAATTGCTCTGAGTGTAAGTATTTTATTGCTTCAGTTTGTAATGCTTCAAATATATAATTTCTTTTTCTATGCTTGAAAAAATCAAATATGTAATTTATTTTTATTTTTATATATATGCTTGAAAAAATAAAATATGTAATTTTTTTAATTCTATTTTTATTTTTAGTTTTATTTATATTTAATTTTTTATTTTAATTTATTTATATGAATATTTGTTGTATAATTTTTTAGTTAAAATTATACAAAGTTTGGCCAAATCTCATGATGTTGTATAATTTTTTAGTTAAAATTATACAAAGTTTGGCCAAATCTCATGAAATCTTAACACATCCACGGATGGCCAAAATTCAAAGAAAGTTGTAGGTCTCTAAAGTGATAGTTGATTGTTGTATACTTCCAAGCAAGGTGTCTACAGTTATCTATTTTGAGCGTAAGTATTCTACATGAGTGTTGGATTTATGCTTGAACCTTGGGCAACCAAAATATGAACACCTAAATCATACATTTTTTTCCCTATAATATTGTTAATTATACTTTCTATACAAAAAAAAAAAAAAAGCAAAAAAAATTTATAGAAAATGAAATGTTTCGTTGTGTTATCAGGTTTTTTTAATTTTTTTTTTTTTTGGGTTTTTTTAAAGTTTTTTCTTATTTTCCTTCGTTTATATCTAATCTTTTTTATTGTAACTATTATAATAAAAAATCCTTTGTTTATTCATCTATTTGTTTTGAAGTGTATTTTTTTGGTAATAAATAATTCAGTAATCCCAAAATTTCATATGATTTTTTAATATTTATTACGTAATGAGTTTGTGATAGTCAGAACAAATAACTTCTACAGTCGTGGTTTATTAGTACTTATCAGCTAATCTCTTTCACTTACAATTTCATTTAATTCTCCACAAAATGAGATTAGTACTTAAATTAATATGCCTTATAAAAATATAAAAACAAACATATGAAAACACTTACATAAAAATATAAAGCTTATTGTATTGTGAGTATACGAGTTGCGTTGTAGTTAACAATCTCATAATATATTATTACTGCCTCTTACATAATTTTATACAATGTAGGCACATTTTAAAGATAGCTGGATTTCATCTACGTAAGTGTTAGTTTGCTAACAATCTTAGGAAAAATGAATCACGATTACCCTGACACATCAAATTTGAGACATGTACAACAACAAAATCGTGAACGGCGTCGTTTATACCTACAACAGAGGAGGCAACGTTTAGCTTCAGAACCAAATGCTCAAACTGAGCAACCACAAAGAGAATTCGAACATTTACGCCTTCAAAACTTAAGCACTGAACAACGCTCAGCAAGATTGGAGCAACGTCGTCTTGCTTAGCGCAGGCGAAGATTGTTGATTCGCGAACAAACTACGAGCTCTAATGTGCAACAAAGAGAAATTGAAAGGGAAAGTTGGCGTAATTATGCCAGACAAAGGAGGGCTGCTTTGACTACTGAACAACGCGAACAATAACTAGCAAGGCGACGAACAACAACTAGCAAGGCGACGAACAAATTATCGACAAAGAAGGGAAATATCTGAAAATCTCGAACAAACTTCTCATCCAGATCAAGTACATAATATGACAAATGCACAAACAAGGAGGTGTATTCAAATGTTATAAACATTATTTTTTTGGTAAGCTTTTACACTTCTAAGTTTGACATTAATATTCAATTAATTTATTACTTATAATTTTAACTGTTAGGATGCATGTTAAACTTTTTCGATACAATCCCAAGAAGAAATAGAACAGGATGGCGTAGGCCGCGAGCAACAGTTTTGCCAACCATTCACGAAGAAGGCAATTGGGTTGCGACTAATGTTTTTAGACGGGAAAGTAGAATGAGTCTACTCTCACGTATTGACTTACCCCGATATGCACCTACTCATTCGACTTATGAGCAGGGAAGCACAAGTGGCAACAGACAAGATGATCCTCGCGAAGTTCAGATGGAAGGTAAAAATAAATTATTTAGTTTAAGTACTTTTACAAAACAAACAACCTTTACAATAAATGTAAAAAAGATGAACAAGCAAATATGATACGCAGTACAATTACATTTAATATTGAACATGCAGCTCAAACACTTTCAAATAAATACTATTGTGTTACTAATAAACCAGTACATCATACATGTATTGTCATAGGAAATATCCCTCATGTCGACCACAATCAGGATGCTTTGAGTGATAAAGACATTCCAGATAATCAATTAATTATCCATAGGAGATATCACAATTGTGCAAGAAATTTTCATGAAAATGAAAGGTTCCAAACAATGCAGTTCCCTGCTCCAACTACATGTAGACATTGCAACGCAAGATTGTTCCACCGTGAAACATCTACCATGTGTTGTAATAATGGAATAATTGTTTTGCCACCAGTAACAGCTCTAAATGAGATGATTGATATTTTCTCTGACCAAATAGTCGAGGGTCATCATTTCAGACAACATATTCAAGCCTACAATCATGTTTTCTCATTCACTTCAATAGGTGTTCATGTTGATGAAAACTTAGCAACAAGAACTCGAGGTGTGTACACGTTTTGTGCACAAGGAGCCATATATCATAAGATTGGGAGTCTCTTACCAAATTCTAGCGACAGACCGAGATATTTGCAACTGTATGTTTATGATACTGACCATGAGAATGAGAATCGAATGTATGAAAATGAAGAATTGCACTTGGATTTGCTTAACAAGATAAAGAATATTTTAAATGCTCATAATCCATTTGTACACACGTTTCGCTAATTGGCTCAGCGTTCAGACATACATGAATGCAGACTTAAAATCAAAGAGCAACCATGTAATAGGCCCCAATACAATCTTCCTACTGCTCCTGAAGTTGCTGCCGTTTTAGTAGGTGGCGAAGAAGGTGGAAATTTAAAACCAAAAGATATCATTGTCCAATTAACCAGTGGTCACCTCCTAAATATTTCTGATATTGTCGGATACTATGATCCATTACAGTATCCTCTGTTGTTACCCTATGGTTCATATGGATGAGATGCAAATACCAGAAGTAATGATGGCAGAAAAGTAACATGTTGTGATTTCTATTCTTATATGCTATAGGTAACGACGTATACATAATATTAAAAAATTACTTTGTCAAAGTTATTTAATCTATAATTATTTCAAATAAAATCTTTACTTTTAATTATTTATAAGTATTCAAATACTGTCAATTCAGATTCGCCTTGGTGATCAATCTCTCTTTCTTCAAGGAGGTCGCTTCTTACAGCAGTACGTCGTAGATAATTACGTGAAGATTGAGTCCAACAAATTAAGATGGATACGTACTCATCAGAATCACATTCGAGCAGATTTTTATCAAGGTCTTCTAGATGCAGTACATGCTGGTGAAAATTATGGAGGTACAAATTGTCACATACGATATTACAATTACATGTACGCATGTTTGTTTATATTCATACATATATATATATATATATATATATAACTATATTTCTCTTTTGTGAAATATTTGTTTAGGTAATGTTGGTCATAGAACAATATTACCATCGTCGTTTGTTGGTAGCCCACGAGACATGTATCAGAGATATCAAGATGCAATGGCTCTGGTCCAAAAGTATGAAAAACCTAATCTTTTCCTTACAATGACCTGCAATCCAAATTGGCCTGAAATTAAAGCTGAGTTGCTACTTGGACAGTCACCGCATGATCGTCCTGATTTGCTAACAAGAATATTTCATTCGAAATTTGATGAGATGAAGACTGACATTCTTACAAAACATGTACTCGGGAAGGTTCTAGCATATGTATATGTTATTGAGTACCAAAAAAGAGTCTTACCACATGCCCACATGGTCATTATTTTGGATGAAAATGATAAGTTACGCACTCCTGACGATTATGATAACATTGTCAGAGCTGAAATTCCAGACAAGAGATTAGAGCCTAGATTATACAGTGTAGTTCTCAAACACATGATACATGGCCCATGTGGAATGTATAATGAACGGTCTCCGTGTATGACAAATGGTCGGTGCAAAAGACGTTTCTTAAAGCCATTTTTTTCCATTACTACACTTGGAAACGATTCATATCCTATTTATCGAAGAAGAGAAGTGGAGTCAGTTCCTTTAGAGAGTAACCCAAGCGTCTTAGTGGATAATAGTTGGGTCATTCCGTACAACCCATGGTTGCTCTTGAAATATGATTGTCATATCAATCTTGAAATTTGCAATAGTGTTACAAGTGTGAAGTATTTATACAAATATGTTTATAAAGGCCCTAACTGTGTTGCACTAGAAGTTCGTTAAGGTCCTAATTATGATGAAGTACAACAGTTCATAGATGGAAGATGGGTTTGTGCTCCAGAAGCATTGTGGAAAATATTCAAATTCCCAATGACCAAAATGACTCCTAGCGTAGAACGCCTCCAAATACATTTACCAAATAAGCAGCAAGTGAGGTTTTATACGTTCCAAGACATCACAAATGTTTTAGGCGATGAGTATTACTCCAAAACAATGCTTACCCAATTCTTTTAATTAAATGTTGATGATGAAACTGCAAATCGGTACTTATATCGAGAGATCCCGCAACATTATAGATGGTGCAACAGTGCAAAGATGTGGCAGTTGAGATTGAACCATCAAAGAGTAATTGGTAGAATTTACATAGTTTCGCCATCAGAAGGGGAGAGATTTTACTTGAGAATTTTACTCAATCATATCCGAGGACCAAAATCATTCGATCATTTGTTAATGGTTAATGGAATTGCGTACCCAACTTTTAAACAAGCAGCTGGACATCATGGTTTGTTAGAGCATGATGATAGCATACGACAATGTTTGTTAGAAGCTGCAACCATGCACATGCCATCAACTTTAAGGAGATTGTTCATTACAATTTTGGTTTACTGTGTGCCAATAGGGGTGCGAAGTTTGTGGGATGAAATTTATCCTTACTTGATTGAAGATTACATATCTTCAAATAGTATGAATAATATGTATATCCTTAACAAAACCCTGCAAGATATAAATCGTCTCCTGCAACAGCATAATAAGAACATATCAGAATACGATTTGCCTGAGATGACAATGAATTTGGATGATAATTCAACAGTTCCAAAGGTTATACAAGATGAGCTTTCCATTGTTACTCCTTGAGAAGACTTAAATTCTATTGCCACATTAAATAGTGATCAACACTTAGCATTTACTGTGGAATGCAATACTGGTGCAATCTTCTTTGTGGATGGCCCAGGAGGAACTGGAAAGACATATTTATATCGTGCACTATTGGCCTCAGTGAGAAGTCAAGGTCGAATTGCCATTGCAATAACAACTTCTGGAATTGCAGCTATACTTTTACCTGGTGGAAGGACAACCCATTCAAGATTCAAGATCCCACTAAATCCAGAGGCTTCGTCCGTGTGTTACATTACTAAACAATCAGATTTGGTAGAACTGATTAGACGTGCAACAGTCATCATTTGGGATGAAGCTACAATGACAAATCATTATGCTTTTGAAGCTTTGAATCGAACACTCATAGACATCACTGGTGTTGATTATCCATTTGGTGGCAAAATTATGGTGTTTGGTGGTGATTTTTGACAAGTACTTCCAGTTGTTCCTAAAGGTACAAAAGCTGAAACTATTGCTGCATCGATAGTCAAATCACCTCTCTGGAGTCACATTCAAATAATTCGTTTAAAACAAAACATGCGCTCTATAAATGACCAACGGTTTGGTGAATTTCTTTTATCCGTTGGAGATGGTGTGCAACCTACCATTATAGATGAAATGATCAAAATACCAACATCGATGGCAATACCATGGAATGACGAAGAATCAATAGTTCGACTATTAGAAGAAATTTATCCTAATATCAGAAACCGTTCTTCTGACGCCGAGTATATGGTTAGTAGGGGCATAATAACTCCTCGCAATGAAGATGTCGACAAGCTCAATGAGAAAATTATTCAGAGATTTCCGGGAGAATCAAGAGTGTACCACTCATTTGATAAAGTTGAAAATGATACCCAAAATTTGTATCAACAAGAGTTTTTAAATTCCATTTCACCAGGAGGAATGCCCCCACATGCATTGCATTTGAAAGTTAGAGCCCCAATTATGTTTTTGAGGAATCTTGACCCTTCTTCTGGTTTGTGCAATGGCACAAGGCTACTATGTCGAGCTTTGAATGATAATTTCATAGATTCAGAGATTTTAACAGGACATTTCAAAGGCACGAGAGTTTTCCTGCATCGCATTCCATTAAAGGCTCCGGAAAACTTAAAACTTCCATTTGAAATGACTCGCACACAATTTTCAGTTCGCCTTAGTTTTGCTTTGACGATAAATAAATCCCAAGGTCAAACAATTCCACATGTGGGAATTTACCTTCCGGATCATGTGTTTAGTCATGGACAACTATATGTTGCTTTATCTCGAGGGGTGTCAGATCAGACAACGAAAGTCTTGGTTAAAAATGGTTCAGTTAATAATGAAGAAGGAGTGTATACCCGCAATGTAGTCTATAAAGACGTTTTGTTACCAAATTATTGATACAGGATGTATGTACAAAATATATTCTTATTGAGCGTATATTATGTCATTTTTTAAATCTACATTTAATATACTTATAATATATCTTCGTATAATTATTGATTGAAGGAATACTTGAAAAAATAAAGCTACTTCAGCTTTGGGAGAATTATCAAGAGGAGTCAAATATGGTTGCAGCTGAAAAAGTTACAAATCAGGTATTGGCTTCACTTATGTTCAAAAAATAATGTTTGTAAAATTTTTGCTATTTAATCTGACAATATGCGCATATATTTTGAGTTTGACTATACCTTTTAAATTAATGTAGGTCAAACAGTTCTCCATATACAGTCTTGGATGGAAGGTCTTTATTAAAGTTGATAAAAAGCAATTGGGAAAATTAATTGTGCGAGAGCTTTTAAGGTAACGACAACATCAATATGATAATGTGTTTGCGGCATTTTATATGAATAATTTCAATATGTTACATTTGCTAATAGTTATTGTAATCTTTTTGCAGAAATCCTATCATATCTGATAGAGCAAGTATATGCAGCAAAGACAATATGGACATATATGTGGTAGTTGCATCAAGTATTATGAAGTTTGCTACTATGCTCCATATATTCATATTTGTAAATTTACAAATTAATTTTAGATTTTATAAATTTGTCAAACAATCAACTTATAAGGAAGTGAGATATTTTTCCTCAGTTTTATAGGCAACGAATGATACAAAAATTGAAAGCTTACAAATATATGTACAACATTGTTACAAGGTAATCTACTTATAGGTTTGTATGTATAACTAAAGTTACGTACTTCATTTTCGATCAATTCCATCTTATTTTTTGTAGTTTAATGTTGTCATAGATCTATGGCAAAAATTGCATCAAAACAATTTGAAGAGATCATTGAACGTGACATTTGGTATGGATGATGTCAATCTATGTCAATATGTAAGTTTTTAATTTTTAGATTTTGTTTATAAAAAATTAACACAATAATTACTTTCTGTGCCTTTATACATAATAAGCCAATTATAAAACCAAATTTATGTATAATTATGCCTCATTGTAAGAACGTAAAATTTAATTTTAATCTATGTATACTGTTACCAATCTTATGATAAATATATCTTATATACTTTTCTTTTTCTTTTTTTGCAAAATTTATATATCTTATATACTTTTCTTTTTCTTTTTTTGCAAAATTTGCAAGATCTCCGATCTTATGTTACTAAGTTTAGATTTTATATGAATTTTTCTTGTACAGTTTTTTAGTTTAGAGTAGTAAATATTTCAATTTTTAAAAGATGTGTACATATTGTAATGTGCATATATTTTATTTATCAAATACGTTAATATCAAATGTTACATTGTACATAATTATTCATATGGCTTATATGTATATTATTAGAAAAAATTGAATCAAAATCATATTATAATTTTAAACAAGTTTGCACACGCATCGCGTGCCCGGCCGCTAATTTGTATATATATAAACAGAAATATTTTGCCATACGTGAATATGCATTAGAAAGTCGTCCTGTATGCCTTGAGAAAAAGAGATTGAATGTCTGACAATGTGGAGTTGCTATACAAACTCCTTATATACATTTTAGAATTCATGTAACTAATGAGAGGAGGCAATATGAACAGCAGCAACAGTCGACACCATAGAGTCCACTCCACAAATATTGCGGCCTTGACAGATTTTGTAGAATCCATTTTCGCCCCAATTCTCTCCCCAAGAGTTCTTTATGATCCAGTATGGCTTTTCCTTCATTCTGATCGGAGCATAGCCAGCTGATCCATATCCTACCAGCAAAACCCCATGGTCTAAGCGCTTCGAGCATATGTATGGGCATGAAACTCCCCCAACATATGTCTGCATGTAAACTGCATTTATAGCCACTGCATCCAAAAAACACAGAATATCAGGATCACTGCCTAACAAACCATATTCATCCTTCATATACATATATTTTTATTTTTTTATTATCATTTTTTGAGGATGCACCATATGAAATTTAGCAGAAAGTATAAACACAAATTTTATTTACTTCAGGGATTTATTCACTTTGTTGACAGTCAAAATTTAGTAAAGACCTAGTGCTCTCTCTATTCAAGGACTCCTCGGTGCTGAAATTGGCTTATTGATGCTTTCCTGATGCACCAATTAAAAGAAAGGAAAGGAAAAGCTAATAGAAATGGTTTTACTTTCCTCATAACTGTTCAGTTTACAAGAAAGTTTATATACAAAAACAATTTAAACTTTCTCACCATCCATAATCTCATACTTTTTATAGGAAGGTATTCGAGGGAAAGTGTTTCCTTCAAGAAAATAGTTATGATGGTACCGATATTTTCCAGCAACTACTGAACGCAGCAGAAGAGAGTTGCCAAATATTCTATGTTTCCAGCAACTCATTATTACTCGGTGCAAAGCGATTTACTAGAAACCAATCTTACAAATGTGTTATGAGGCATTGTCTGAGGAAGACAGATGCAGGTAGCCAACCCCAAATAGTTGGGATTATGACAAGTTGAATTGAGTTGAGTTTTTAACTTTTATGACTAATTTTTTTTTAAAAATGTTTTTAAATATGCAAAGTTATTGACCCAAGATTTCATTCATAGGAAAAAAAATATGAAGAAAATAACTTGGAAGAGAATGTCGCGAACCTGCCAGAGGACCATTTTTCACGAGATTTGCGGCAATTTGGTCTTCATCGAGGGAGATGACACTAAAGTTAGCTACTGAAGCAGCAATCTTGGTCTTGTCAAATTTGCAGGTTCCACGATCAGTACCGGTGTAAGGATAGTCCACTTCTCGCATAAGTCCACCAGCTTTGAGTGTGTACTCAAAGGCACTATTCATTAGCCCACCATTGCAACCAGAGTCGCAAGAATCAGCTTCCTCTGGATCACACTACAGATGATACAAGTTTAATAGAAAGAAAACAAGAGTATTATTGCAATGAACCACCCAGTTAATGGTGTATGTCCAAAAAAATAAAAATAAATAAACAAAAACTCAAAAGTCAGCAACACATCAGGGGAGAGACCAATAAGGTAACCATTTGGTCCATAAAGCTGGAGGTCATAAACATATACATATTCGTGGTCCAAACTAGTATATCAGATGGACACAAAACTGAAGAGGTTTTCATGTTAGTAGTGAAATGTAGTATAAAATAATTTCATCAATTTTCACTAGATGCATTCATATGATATGCATAATCCATGAGATACACACGTATGATATGTTCTATTCTCAACCGTAGCTTAAAACAAGAAAAGGTGAAATGGAGAACAATGTGACCCAATCTTCATTTTGTTTTCCAGACAGTTGGGTAAGTTTACATTAGGGTTTTTTCCTGTGAAAGTCATAATCATGTAATTATGTAACCATAACTCCTAAATATCATCCATTAACATTTCAGAACATTAAGGCCTCATTTAGCAACTCAATATTTTAGCCCAAAAGTCAATAAAAAACCAAAAAACCAACCACTTATACCAAAAAGTCAAAGATTCATTTTTCTTTTTTACTTTTTGCACATCATTTCGTAAAAAATCAAAAAGTCATTCCAAACATATTAATCTTTTTACCTCATATTTTAGTCAAAAAATTACTAAAATAGCATATTCTCAAAACGAGGCCTAAGACAGTTAAACTTCAAAGGAAATCAAGTCAATGAGCAAAGAGCAACTATTTAACATCCCTAAAGAAATTTGTCTTGAACCTCAATCAACATTAGTATTGAATCTCCTCATATGGAAAAAGTAGAAAAGCCTAATGGTAACTCTATAATGTTTATGCCGTATTCCACCAATTCACAAATTGATTTCTTTTTTTTTCCGCCCCCCCCCAAGTTATTTAGAAGGGAAGGAGGAAAAATCAACACGGTAAAGCCAAGAGTTATAAGGCACAATTCAAGCACCACTCCAAAAGGGTCTTACTTTTGAAAGGGTGATGGCACCTTGTAGGTCTTGGCTCTACCGTATCGACTTCCCCCGTCCTTGGTATATAACTTAAAGAAAAAACAGAGGGCTTGTCCCACATCAACCATGCTAACTAAAATAGATGAATTGATTAATATGTAATCAATGTCCTTAGAATTATAACCAATAACAAAGCTACATTCACCATAAAAGTACATTAATAAATCTAGGTTTAACTAAAACCTAGCTTTCAAACTAGGCAAAGAATCATCTATTAAACTTCAAAAAAATTACCAAAAAAACTTGAGTTAACCCTTGTAACAAAATAAATCGTGAATTTTTAATTTTATCAATTTAAATTTTAATCTTTTAATTTGTCTACTCATTTTTGTTAAGTAAAATTGAAGAAAAAAAATATTTTAGTCATTAAACCTAACAGAAAAAAGTATTTTAGATACTACTTATATTGAGTTTAATGACTAAAATACTATTTTTTTATTGGTTTTACTTAACAAACATAGACGAATAATTTAGATTGAAAATAAATCAAAAAATTATGATTTAAATTGATTACAAAAAATAAAAATTGAGAGTTTAATTTGTTACAAAAGTCAAGCAAAAGACTTTTTTTTCATAATTTTTCCTAAAACTTTTTGCTTGATTGTGGTGAAAAACCAGCTCATTAACAAGAAGAAAGCACAACATCAAAGAAAATTCATGACTATTATCACAATTTTCCAAAGGTGTACGCAAGATTCGAGTCCACATCTTCCGTTCTGTAGCACCTAACCTTTGCAATACATGCACAAAGTGGAGGCTCTCATATCAAAACCTACTTGTTATAGCCCTAACTTTAACCATGGTGCCAAGCAATAGTTTCTATCCAAGATGATACATATATATATGGTTTAAATGAATAAATAAATCATCCCTAATGCTTAATTGAAGCCCACAATTGATCTACAGAATGATTCTATTTGCCAATAGAACCAAACAATCAATCACAACATAGTCAAACACTCACACACACACATAATTTATTCAATAAAATAACATAATATATTCAATAAAATAAAGGAAGGGCAAAATCAGCAAACCTCATGGTCACAATCCACAAGTTGTTGCTCGCTAAGGCTCACAAGCTTCCTTGTTGCAAGGAAATTCGCACCCTCCAAGGCCCCAGTGGCACTAAACGACCAGCATGATCCACAAGAACCCTAATTACCATTCATTATCAACAACACCACAATTACCATCACAATCATTCCCAAAAAACACAATATCAACACAAATTAACCACAAAATTGCAAAATCAACAGCCAATTAAACCTAATTCCTCATTAATCGACACACACACAGACATATGTATATATATATAATACCTGATTCTTTACGGGCGCGACGGCTCCGTGATCTCGCCAATCGAAATCTGTCGGGAGATCATTTGTCGGAAGGATCGGAGCCTTGTTAGCGTCGGATGGAAGCTTGAGGCGCCTCCTCAAGCCGAGGTGTTTCTGGCGAAACTCCGCCGGAGACAGATCGGAGAACTGAGTGACGCCGTGGACCGCCGTGGGGTCGAGCTGCTGGTGGCGGCGAGCCCGGCGTAGGTTAGACTTGAAGATCGAGAACCTGTGATCGTGCTCCTCCTTGGTGGCGTACGACTTTCCGAACTTGCTCTTGAAGAGGCTGAAGTGGTGGTGGTCGGAGTTCAACTGATGGTCCTCGCCGACGACCTGCCGGATTATGACGTCATCGCCGTCCGGATCGGCGGCTGAGGCGAAGGACGTCGCAATGACGAGAGAGAAAACGAAGAGGAGAGAGAAACGGTGATCCATGTTTAGAGAGAGAGAGATGAGAGACCTTGATACCGATGTATATATAGATGTGTGGAGGTCTGTATCTATCTACCAGTCGTATCGGCTAGAAGGTTGCTTCGAGGAGTGGAGATGTTTTGCCAATGAGAAGTGGACACGTTGTAAGAAAGCATGGTAAAAAGGACTGGTAGTTGCTTTTTTTTCGAAACCAATCGCAATATATTTTATTTTTTCAATCGCAATATATTAAGGGCTGGTTTGGGGTAACCTGAATCAGTCAAAAAGTCAAAAAGTTATTCTAAAATTCAAAAAGATATCACTATTCATCAAAAAAAAAAAAAATTAAAAAATTAATTTCTTTCAACACAGGTACGCACGGAATTGACACAGAGGCAGCGGCTGTGTGCGGCAGTGCAGAACAAAAGAAATGATTGGGTGTGATTTTTATACACACCGTTGTTCGTCCCATGGGGCCATCAGGGGTCCCTTTTTGATAATCTGAACCGTTCAATATGTAGAAATCGTCGAGTAATATATGTCTGCCAAAAATCACATTAATCGGATATTGAAAACTATATGATCAAATCAGTTATGTACAACAAATGGATAGTGTTATAATTAATTATTGAAAAATAAATAAATCTAATCAGATAGCTATCGATATCCGATTAACATAATTTTTTGTAGGTACATAGTGTTCGACGAGTTACACACATTGAACGGTTCAGATTATTAAAATGGGACCCGTGATGACCCCCACGGGCCAAACAAAAACGTCCAATGCTTTCTACAAAAATTATCCAATAATTTCCAATCCCAATACACGGCTGCATTGTGTACGGCTGGGGGCCACCACTCTCTAATCATCTCTTACACATTTTTTTTATACAATTTTTTAATACACATTTTTTCATAAAAATCCAAAAAGTTAACCCAAACTTCCATATTTTTTTCTCAACTTTTTTAGTCCAAAAAGACAAAAAGTGCACTTTTTTAGGACACCCCAAACCAGCCCTAAGACCATCTCCAACGCTTCAGCAAACGTGATATCAAATTCAAAATTTGATGAAAAAGTCACTTTTTTGAATTCCAACCGTTTCACCAAATCGATATCAAATTCAGAATTCAGCAAATCTTGTACCAAAATGAGAACAGGCGAAGCATTTTACCAAATCATTGTTCCTAACCGTTGGGAGAGACCAACCGGTCAACCAGCCGGTTGCCCGGCCGGTTGACCAACCGGTTGACCGCCTAAAGGTTCAAACGGTTCGAAAAAAAGGTTCAAACAGTAAAAAAAAAAAAAAAAAATTTTTTTTTGCCTAACCGGTCGACCAGCTGGTCGACCACTAAAAGGTTCAAAAAGTTAAAAAAAAAAAAAAAAAAAAAAAAAAAAAAAAAAATTTTTCGCTTAACCGGTCGACCAACCGGTTGTCCCTGGCACAAATTTGATGAAAGTGCACCGTTGGAGTGAATGGTATCAAATTGATAAAATGAATCATTTTTAACTCAAATTTAATAAAAAATCTGAGTAACCGTTAGAGATGCTCTAAATAATAAAATTTGATGAATTTCATCTTTTCACTCGCCACAACACTCTTGACACTACTTAACGGTGCTTAAGATTTGAAATTTTTATTTGAAATTTTTATTTGTGACGTCAGACAAATTTTATCTAATCGTTTTGGAAGTAGGACGTGGACGGTAACCATAATTCTGCTCAGCGGAAGGGTAAGGCATCATGTTTTTATCCCATTAACGTGCTCCTCCTTGGTGGCGTACGACTTTCCGAACTTGCTCTTGAAGAGGCTGAAGTGGTGGTGGTCGGAGTTCAACTGATGGTCCTCGCCGACGACCTGCCGGATTATGACGCCATCGCCGTCCGAATCGGCGGCTGAGGCGAAGGACGTCGCAATGACGAGAGAGAAAACGAAGAGGAGACAGAAACGGTGATCCATGTTTAGAGAGAGAGAGATGAGAGACCTAGATACCGATGTATTCTCTATATATAGATGTGTGGGGGTCTGTATCTATCTACCAGTCGTATCGGCTAGAAGGTTGCTTCGAGGAGTGGAGATGTTTTGCCACTGAGAAGTGGACACGTTGTAAGAAAGCATTGTAAAAGGACTGGTAGTTGCTTTTTTTTCGAAACCAATCGCAATATATTTTATTCTTTCAATCGCAATATATTAAGACCATCAGCGACGGTAAATTCGAATTTTGATGAAAAAATTACTTTTTCAAGCTTCAATCGTTGTACTAGATTGATATCAAAATGAGATTTCAGTAAAAAAAATATCAAACTGAGAATGAGACACAGATTTTACCAAATCACTGTTACTGACCGTTGAAAGAGGTACACCGGTCAACCAGCCGGTTGCCCCGCCGGTTGACCAACCGGTCAACCAGTAAAAGATTCAAACAGTTCAGGAAAAAAAGTTCAAATCGTTAAAAAAAAAAAAAAAAAAAAAAAATTGCCTAACCGGTCAACCGACCGGTCGTCCCGAAAAAGTTGAGAAAGTTCAAAAAAAAGTTCAGACAATTCGGCAACAAAAAAAAAAAAAATTTTTTTTGCCTAACCGGTCAACTTGCCGATCGACCACCCGGTTGTCCCGGGATAGATTTGGTGAAAGGTGAACCGTTGGAGCGAGTGATATCAAATTTAGTGAATTAGGTCATTTTTAACTCAAATTTGATGAAAAATTTGAGTCACCGTTGGAGATGCTCTAAGACCATCTCCAACGGTTCATCAAACCTGATATCAAATTCAAAATTTGATGAAAAAACTACTTTTTTGAGCTCCAACGGTTTCACCAAATCGATATCAAATCCAGAATTCAGTAAATCTTTTACCAAAATGAGAACAGGCGAAGCATTTTACCAAATCACTGTTCCTAACCGTTGGGAGAGACCAACCGGTCAACCAGCCGGTTGCCCGGCCGGTTGACCAACCGGTCGACCGCCTAAAGGTTCAAATGGTTCGAAGAAAAGATTCAAATAGTAAAAAAAAAAATTAAATTTTGCCTAATCGGTCGACCAGCTGGTCGACCACTAAAAGGTTCAAAAAGTTCAAAAAAAAAAAAAAAAAAAAAAAAAAAAAAAAAAAAAATTCGCTTAACCGGTCGACCAACCGGTTGTCCCCGACACAAATTTGATGAAAGTACACCGTTGGAACGAGTGGTATCAAATTGATAAAATAGGTCATTTTTTATTCAAATTTAATGAAAAATCTGATTCATCGTTGGAGATGCTCTAACATAATAAAATTTGATGAATTTCATCTTTTCACTCGCCACAACACTCTTGACACTATTTAACGGTGCTTAAGATTTGAAATTTTTATTTGTGACGTCAGACAAATTTTATCTAATCGTTTTGGAACTAGGACGTGGACGGTAACCATAATTCTGCTCAGCGGAAGGGTAAGGCATCATGTTTTTATCCCATTAAAATAAATAATTTAAATTTTTATTAAAAAAAATACAAGTAATGTTATAATTTTGACCCAATTGTATAAATTTTTCTTTGGATAAAGGTAATAAAATCGAAATTAATATGACAGATAAACAAAAAAATTATTTATTTTAATATTTTTTTTTTGAAACTTAGAAGTGGTTTGATATCCACTAAATAATTTATCTTTTTATCTTTTTTTATAACATCACCTCTCTATTTTTCTAGATATTTTTTCATAAAAAGTTAAAAAGTATACTTATTTAGATCATCCAATATAACCCCTCAGTCAGGATTATTTGAGATGATTTAAATAAATATACTTTTTAACTTTTTACAAAAAAATGTACAAAAAAGTAGAGAGGTGATGTGAGTCAAATAAGTGTACTTTTCTAAATAAATACACTTATATCCATCATGTCAAAAATGCATTTTAATGTGATATGAGTTGCATCTATTATATTATTATTAAAAGTGAACACCTTACTTGATATTCATAAACTTCATTCTCTCCTTCTGCCAAATGGCTTCTTTTCTTGCGTCAAGGGTCAACTTTTCCATCGAAAAGGGCTCACTTGGTGTCCATGAATTTTCTTCTCTCTTTCTGTCAAATGGCTTCTTTTCTTGCGCCTAGTGACAGTATGTATACATTTTAAAATGTCAGATAGATCCCACATAAAATAAAACACAAATGGTTAATATGAATTTTACATATCTGAAAAAATGATAATAATGTCTTTGATTTGTTGAGATTACTTCTGTACAATGGTATTTTAATTCTATTTGCTTACTATGTTAATAGACCTACCAGGAGCTTCACTCTATAAATTACAAAGATTTACATGGTTATTTTTAAATGATAATGAGTTATATTTTTATTTTAAAACTAAGGGTAAGTTCACCTGTGGGTGTGTTTAAAATATAAATTTTAATTTTGAATTTATATCATAACTTTTATATTGTTTAATTGATGAAAATATTCTTTAATAAATTAAGTGAATAATTTTAAGTTTAAGTCTTATCCTTTAAGATGGAGAAATTGACGCTTGACGCAAGAAAAAGAAGTCATTTGACCGAAGGAGGGAAAGAAATTTATGGACACCAAGTGAGCCCTTTCAGATGGAGAAGTTGACCCTTGTTGATGGTCTGTCTTCGCATTCCAGCCAAATTGTCCAACTTTGATAGTCCAAACGTGGCGGATGGGGGTTCGTGGTGGTGGCTTGCGATAGTAGTACTTCATGGCTGTAGAAGGGGCCGGGTAACGACTACGGTTTTGCAACAAGGGAACAGTGGTGGGGTTAAGGAAAATGTAGACTTTTTGTCTTTAATGATAATTAACATGAGGTATATAATTGTAATTTTAAAAAAAATTAAAAACAGCATGAGTGGAAAAAAATTGCAGTGTGCAAATAGAAACACCCATCAACAATGTCAACCGAATAGCCAGATTTACCAATTTACGATTTTATTGTAGCTCATCTTGTCATATTTCTCCAAACAACAAATGAAATGAATAAAATTTATATTCCCACCAATGATATTATGTCGTGTGAGCTTTTTCGCCCACACCACCACCAACCCACCAAGGCACCCCACACCCCCACCACTCCTACCAGTGACTCAATCAAAAACCATTCTATTCCCACCACCCTATCTCTATCTCTCTCTCTCATAAACAGAAAGCTACAAAACCTCTTAATCACTCTCAACCCACACCTCTTTATCCATCCTTATCTGTACAGTTGACAAGCAGCTCAAAGGCAAAATGTTTTTATACCTTGGAAACATTTCCACCCTGCAGTCTCTTGATTTATCTTTGAATTCATTCAACTGAACACATTCGACCTCAGTTGGTTCTTTGCTTACAAATTTTGGACCCAACTGTTTGTGATAATTCTGTTTCCAGTCTAATTCCACAGGAACTACGAAACCTTGGGAATTTGCTGTATATAGACTTTGGGAATACTTTCTTGATTGGAAGCATACCTGACACATACAACTGCACTACCTTGTTAGAACTCAACCTCATCCTTAATGCTGTGTTTGGTTGGGGGATTTGGAGAGGGATTTGGAAAGGAAAATGAAAAAGATAGGTAAAATGTGAATAAATCATGCCTATATTTCACATAGTTTCACACACCTTTTCCCTTTCCCTTTCCAAATCCCTCCCCAAATCCCTCAACCAAACACACCATAACAATCTCACTGGTACAATCCAGTCAAACATGACAAGCAGCTCAAAGGCAAAATGTTTTTATACCTTGGAAACATTTCCACCCTGCAGTCTCTTGATTTATCTTTGAATTCATTCAACTGAACACATTCGACCTCAGTTGGTTCTTTGCTTACAAATTTTGGACCCAACTGTTTGTGATAATTCTGTTTCCAGTCTAATTCCACAGGAACTACGAAACCTTGGGAATTTGCAGTATATAGACTTTGGGAATACTTTCTTGATTGGAAGCATACCTGACACATACAACTGCACTACCTTGTTAGAACTCAACCTCATCCTTAACAATCTCACTGGTACAATCCAGTCAACATAGTTGATTTAGTTAATCTTACACCGAACTCAACTCGTGTTCGGCTCGTTAATTTTTCAAGTCAAGCTTGAACAAGATACTACTTGACTCAATAAGATTAAATGCATAATAATAATAATAATAACACTAAACTATTTGAGCTCAGTTCATTATGGTTCTATTAAAGTTCATCTGAGATTGACTCGAAAGATTAAAAAAAAAGAAAAAAATAAGTCCAGGTTGAAGACATTTTGAAGCACGATTACAGCCATATCTCTTGCTCCTCAAACAGAGGAGCAAAAGAAACCATAAACCATTAAAACAGTGCCTCAAATCAGTAATGAATGTATCCTCACATCTTGCAACCAGAATCCAAAACAAATAAACAAATGCAGGCTCATGAGAGAGAGAGAGAGACAGAGAGAGAGAGCATCCAAGTAGTAAAATGAAGCAAACATCAAACTATAATCTTTTAATGTTAAGACTACAACTTTTTGTACCCACAGTTAAATAGGCGGCCATAATTAGTATAGTACCTGTACAAAGCAAGTCTGGAGAACCAGTTATGGAGCTCCGAAGCTCTAGAAAGAGATCAGATAATGTTTGTGGTATAGTTAAAAGTATCTTCCAACTTTGGCATGAGTTATCAACAATAAGCTTGCACTTCTTCAGTTACCAAGTTTCATTACGTTTCCAAACAGAAACAAGAATTGCAAGATGATTATAATGACTATACAGATTCGAAGGAACAAAACCCTGCACCACATATTCCTGTTGCAGTCACACCAGTGTTGATTCACCTTCCTTCCACACTTGTAGCAGAAATTGGTTCCACACCTACATCCAAAATGAAAGCAAGAATTAGATCAATCCATCTCCACATCATATAACATTTTCTCTCACTTTCCACTGTTTTGCCACCGAGAAAACAAACAACAAATGAACAATGAGAAATGACATCCCTGTTCCGGTTGTTGAAGTCACATCTTGTTTTATGAAAACCTAGTCCCAATGTGGGCAAGTAAGGACTAGTATAAAATTGCCTTATTTTGCAGGGGAATTAATATATTTTTTTTCACAAGTGCAGTTGATGAAGAATTCAAGTCCATTTGGATTGATGGGATGGGTTTTGTGCAAAAAGAAAAGAAATTGACAGAAAAACTCATTGCTTGTTTGGACGATTGAGGAAATGACAAAATGAAGAGAGACAAAATTTTCTTAAAACTCCTTTTTTGTTTCTCACCAAAATTAGTGAAATTTGGCGAGACGAAAGTTGAGGTACATGAAATTTGCAAAATACCCAAATTACTCATCTAAATACAAAACGATAAAAATAATAAAACATGTGTCCTATTTATTTCAGAAAGATTCTAAGATAATCCTTTTAAAAAGGATGTATCATATGTACACCTACTTATTTCATTTTATTCTTTAGTTATGATCAATTTTGTTACCTAGTTATGATATTATTTTAATTATAACTTATATTGTGTTTAGTTATGACATTTTTTCTTTAATTTAGTTATATCTCAAATTTTTTTTTTTTTTTAATTATAAAGTGCATATGGTGCACACCTTTTATTTCATATTCATCCAAAGACAATGATGAGACATACAAGCAAAAATTTTATTTCCCCCCTTTTTCTCACCAAATTTATCAAACTGAACTAAGTTTACAATTCTAGTATTGTTTTTTTCCTCCCTTCAATTCTAGGTTCAAGACTTCTTGGGGAATCGACAATTCCTAATTAAGATTGGTGAGAAGCAAAATAGCAAATGAGAAAGACAAAATAAATCGAATCGAATCAATCTTACACATACAAGAATATAAGAATTTACGTGATTAATAATTTCACAATAATCAAAAAACCATATAAAATAAGTACATAAGTTAGGCCTGCGTGGAACCAACAAGAAATTACAAAGCACACAAAAATTCGAACCCCCCAACCTCGAGGCCCCCGAGCCCCTATTGAAACCCAGGCTCGGTGTTCAGTACTTATCAAGTCAACAATACAACACATCAGAATCCTATGATATCTTCCTTCTTTCATCCTTTCTCAACCACCAAACAGAAAATAACCTATTATACAGGGACAAAAAAGAAGGGAAAAAAAAAAAAAAAACAGTATCCAAAGTCGCATCATATTGAAAAAGATTTCGAAGCAAACTCACTCAACTGCCCTAATTAGCTGAATTATGATACCTAATCCCCAATTTGAGCTAGAAAAAGACTAGTAAACCCTAATATACAGTGTTAGAGGAAAAAAAAAAAAAACTGTATCCAAAGTCGCATCATATTGAAAAAGATTTCGAAGCAAACTCACTCAACTGCCCTAATTAGCTGAATTATGATACCTAATCCCCAATTTGAGCTAGAAAAAGACTAGTAAACCCTAATATACAGTGTTAGAGAGAGAGAGAGAGAGAGAACCTGCATTTGACAATGGAGCAACCTTCAATGAGATCAACACAATGATTGCATTTAGGGCATCGCATCCACTTATTTCTCTCAGCAAGAACACCAAATGCTATATCATTCCGATCTCTCATCTCTCCACTCTCTTCACACCTATACCCAGCGTGCCAAGGAAGCTGACAGTGAAAGCAAAACAACCTCTTACAATTAGGACAAACCGATCTCCTAACAATCCCTTGACACTCATTCACCACCAACGCAGAGCAATCTCGATTAGGGCAATAACATCTCTGAAACCCTAGAATCGCGCTATCGCAGAGCACATCGCACCACTTGTCGAAGAGCTTCGGGGCCAAGATGGGTCGGCATGAGAGAGGGTCGAGAAAGTGATCGCAGCTCAGTCCCGGGCACTTCACGGCGGCGATGAGGTCGTCTTCGACCTTGACTTGGATGTACTTGGTCACGCAATCGATGCAAAATGGGTGGATACATAAACCCTTGTTTGTGAATTTCTTGTTTGATAACATGGGTTCGATGCATATTTCGCAAGTGAAGTTAGAGACTTCCGACGACTCTGGTTCTGCCTCCGCCGTTGGCGTTGGCGGTGGCCGTGGTGGTGGTGGGTTGATCGAGTTTGTGTTGCCCATTTTTGAGGGTTTTCAGTGATTCGCAGAGGGTGATTCCTTGTTTTTGACGATTTGGATTTGTTCGTATTTTTGTTTATTTGGGGTTTTTGTATCTTTTCAGTGAAGTTTCAGTCCACCTAATAGTAATGAGCATTGGACTCGCTAGTAATTCGGAGGGATGTTAAAAAGTTGAGTAATGTTTGAGGTTTTAAATATTTTTTTTAAGAGTAATATTAGAAATTTTAAATATTTTATTACAAATTTTATCAAATGTTTTATATGGGTGTGAGACCCATATAATGTAGGTTTCATATGAGTTTCACATCCATGTGAGATATTTAATAAAATTTTTGAAACCTCTAACATTTTTATTTTTTTAAATGTCTGATATGATTGTGGGATCTTATATTTATAGGAGTTATTTGATAAAATATTTAATAAAATATTTAAGATTTATAATATTTTTTTAAAAAGTTTGTTTGAGATTGAGGTTGTTTTGGTAATTTAATTTTAAGTAAATTACAAATACGATTCTTCTAGTTTATTTAAAAGAGAAATTTTAATATACACGTTTTTAAAAAGTGTATGTAAATAAGCAGAGTCGAGTCGAGTCAAATTTTAATATCTTTAAACTTATTTATTAAGATTTTAACAAGTTAAAACTCGAGCTCGAACTTGATAAAATTTAACGAATCGAGCTCAAACCGAGTTAGTTTAGGCTTGACTCGAACTTAAGCTTGTTTATGAACCTTAACGAGTCAAAAAAATTATAAATTTATATTCGTGTATGAGACTAAAATTACAATTAAATTTTTGATTAGACAATTATATATACAATATATAAACATATATACTAAAAAAAAGTCAATATTTTACTAAAATAATAATATTTACCACCACTATTATGTAAATGTGCTATCTATATAACTATCATTTACGTTTATATTTTTTAAATATATAAATAATATATTTATCTTATTTTGTACACATATTTTTATATTATTTAATATATAAATAATAAATGTTAAACCAACCAACTTATGAGTCGCGTTTTAATATATTTGGGTTTATTTATTAAAAATTTAACGAGCTCCAATTCAAAAGTAAAAAATAAAAATAAAAATTTAACGAACCGAGTTTGAACAAGCACTTATTGAGTCGAGCTCAAACTTGTTCACAAAGGGCTCTGTTGATTTGCAGCCGTAGGTGCATCATATGTATTCCTAATTATATCATTTTCATATTTAGTTATGACCAAGTTTCTTCTTCAATTATGACATTATTTTAATTATGACTCGTGAGAACTTTAGTTATGTCTCATGTTATGTTTAGTTATAATATTTTTTTTGTTATGACTTAGAAAGTATAAAGTTATGCCATTTTTTTCTTTAGTTATGGGACATATGATACACACATTTTGAGAGGTGTGTACCATAGTATTTTTCCTGTAATTTACTTAAAATACAGATTATCTTTTGTAGTGTAGAAAACTATAAATACCTTGTTCGAATAATTTTTATAACAGAATTAACTGAAAAAATAAAATTAATAACTACTTTCTTATAAAATAATAAAATTAACTTGAATTATTAATTAACATATATTTATGACATCATTAAAAACTGTTAATGGATTTGATAATTTATTGATAAAAAGAGTCATGTGTTATACAATTAGAAATTTCAAAGGGTAAAATAAAATTTTTAGAACCATAGAGAATAATTTGTATTTTAAACATATCTTAGGAGTGAATTTGTAATTTTCTCTTAAATTTTTTAAGAATTTTAATAAAACAAATATATAAAAAAGTAGGGGAATTGAATTATAACAACTCGTAATAACTTTTTGATTTTTTTTTTACTAAAAAACTCTCTTTCCAAACATGACCTAAATTTTTATATAAATATGTTAATTAAATTAAAAATTTTAAAATTTAAATTAAATTTTTTAAAAATAAAGTAATTAAAGATAATTTTGTGATTAATTTGATTAAACCTTGTTTGAAATTGATTTGAAACTAAAAAAGTTAAACTGAATATATTTTAAAAAATTTAAGTTAATTTTAAAGAACCTTCAACTCTAATTAATTTGGTTAACTACTTTTAAATTTTTGAAAACTCTAGTATTAATTAAAATAAACTCTTAATTCTTTTCTATTATTTAATATCCATCACCTCTTTTTCTTTTCTTTTTTATATAAATATTAGTGTGATATTGTAGTCCTTAACATACAAAGTTTTATATATAATTGAAACATTTTAATTGCACACCTCTCTCTCTCTCTCAACATTGAAACCATCCATAAGGATAAATAAAGTGTGTCAACACAAGAAAAAGACAAATCTCTTCCAATTGAGAGGGAGATTTATAATGTGGCTTTGGGCCATGGTAGAAGTCGGGCAGAGAGAGGTCCGAGCATGTTTGGGCTGAGCTAACGTGGGCCTGTCCAGAGTTGGTTTGCTCAGTCGAGACCTAGGTCTCATGTTTGGGCCGATCTAACTTGACCGAGGTGATTGTCTGCTGACCCTGGTTTCATGGTTCGCACATTTAGCTTGGCGAGAGAGGCCTTCTAAAGACCGGCCTAACTTGCCTGGAGCTCAGTCGTACCGGAATGCTACTAAGCTCGGTTGTGGTGGAGCTCGGCGAGTGGTGCTGTCGGACTCGTTACATAGCCCGGTCATATGAGTCCGAGGTGATGCCGCCAGGCTGCCCCCGTTCCTGGTAATGTTGTCTGGCGATTTGAGTAGGTGGTGTTTAGTTGGATTTGCGCTGACGGATGGTAGAGCAGCTCTACGTGTCAATAAGCGAATGGATGCAGAGGTGAGCGCAGAAAGTATATAAGCATGACTGCGCCCCCCATGCTGGGGATGAAACATCATTTGGTGAGAGAAACCTAAACATTCAACTATCTTCCTCTCTTTCTCTATCTCTGAGTGTGTGCTAACTTGACTGTCAGAGGGGTTTTCCGGCAACAAACCGCCGGGTAGCTCACCGCTGTTGTGTTCGTAGGTTGATCGGATAGAAGCGGAGCTTGGACGAAAGCAGTACGGGCGTTGTCGAATATTTGCTCCCCGTACAATTGGCGCCGTCTGTGGGAACTCCCTTTGGCATCTGGATGTATTGTGTCGGTGCCGGAGCTAGCTCGGCTGGGGGCTAATGCGCGGGAAATCCCACATCGGTCTGTGAGGGACTACTTTCCCACCTTATAAGCAGATTGACTCCTCTTACCTTGCATAGGCCTTTTCCCCCAGTGGGGGAGGAATAAAACCGTGCGGTGGGTTTTGCCAAAGCGGACAATACATGCAAGGAATGCGGAGTGGTTGCTTCAATTGGCGCCGTCTGTGGAAAGCATTTGCAGACATAACCTTGTCCTCCAAGCTCATCTGAACACCTTCCATGGCGAACAACGACGAAATACCATTGTCTTCCGTTGACGGTGTTACCCCGGAGTCAGCCAGATGGAGAGATGGACTCCCCGTCATTCCGAACATGGCGGACTTGGAGACTTCCCCAGGAGGACTTCCGAGAGATGCACGAGATAAGCGCGCCAAAAGTTTTGGTCGCTCATGGAGCCTAGACGGACACCGGCGGCGAAAAGAATCGCATGCTCGACGTTTGAAGCACAAGTTAAGGGACCAAGACACCGTCATCCAGAGAATGGCGGCAGAGATGGAAGTTCTTAAACGACAGGTCAAAGGAAAGGGTGTAGCTGGAGTGGGAGACCACAGTGAGCGCACCCAACCCCGTCGCTCAGGCAGTCAGAGCCAGCAGCACACGCCTTGCCTTTTTATCACCAGAAGCTATAGAGTTGGGGACTTAGACACGCCTGTAGAGAAGTCTAGCGCGCAAGATAGTACCTACCATCCCTCACGTCCGTCGACCACTTCGAGATATTCTTACTCCGTCCGTTCAGAGGACTTGAGGGACGTCTTGAAGGAGCAAGCTCGCCGACGGGAGGCTAAAAGGGTGCCGGCGCTCCAGCGGTTATCTTACGGAGGTCACCATAGTGAGAAGGTTATGATGCCGCTGCCCTGTTTGGCCGTACCAGTTCCTTTGGACACTGACTTGGCGAGGCTGAACGCCTCCCCCTTCTCCCTTGAAATAGAGACCACGCCACTCCCAGCGGGCTTTCACCATCCCAAGTTTACACTTTATGACGAAAAAAACGATCCGTACATGCATGTAAGCCACTTTCGGCAGGTCATGGCTGGACACAGGCGTAATGATGCGCTTATATGCCTTATTTTTCTATCCAGTTTAGGCGAACTGGGTTTGAAATAATTTGAGAGACTCCCAGAAGAGAGCATCGAGAGGTGGCAGCAGTTGGCGGAAGCATTCGTGACTCGTTTTAAAACCAACACCAAAACGCCAAAGGAAGTGGACCACCTTCTGAGTGTCAAGATGGAGTCGAGTGAAACCCTCAAGGCATACAACTCTAGGTACTAGGAAACCTTCAACGAGATCCTAGATTGCTTGATCAACCTGGCAATCACCCAATATAAGCGCATTCTCCTGGTCGGGCATAGGCTGAGGGACTCGTTTACAATGAACCAGCCGGCGTCCATGGGGCAACTAATGCAACGCATCAATGAGAACCTCCGAGTAGAGGATGATGCGGCGGCATCCACCGCGAAGACAAATCCGGTGGTAACAGACAAAAGGGCGGTTGGCAAGGTACACGCAGTCGGACAAAAGACTAGCCATCCAAATGATCACACCGAGGAATCTGACCGTGGATCAAATCATAGAAACCGGGGTAGAGGTCGCCGTAATGATCGAGTAGAATATCCCCATGACGACGCAGCTAATGCTAATAGAAGGTTGAACGCTCGGATGGGCATCACTACGGTATTTAAGATTCTAATCTATCGCATACTTAGTGAAACCGCGATGAGGATTAGGTCCGGTTTCCTGCTAAGTTAGGCGATGCGCAAAAGGGCTTCAATCCGCTGTACCGCTGCACATATCATAGGGAGCGTGGACACCGGACAGAGGACTGTTTGCCTTTGAAGTAACACTTGGAGGAGTTAGTCACAGCCGGTCACTTAGACCTTTACATTGATGGGGGTGTTAGAGCCGTGCATCCCACCCCGACTGATCCGAATGGTTCGAATGACTTAGAGGCGCCTCCTCAAGGAGTGGTCAATGTGATCCGCGGCATAGTGGAGTCG